GACCCAGGTCGAAATCGAAGTAAGATTGCAAATGTGTTTTATTGTCATAGATTAGATAGAAAATTAAAATCTATAAAATAAGCATCTCACATTTAGAAATTTCTTTGTTTTATGCACATTGACATTTGTTATTACTTATATAGTTTACCATTAACTCTGTTTTGATGGATTTTCTTACAAATTTTGGCACATGTTACAGTTTTACTGACAGAATTCTAAATGTGAGATTCACCCAATACCCAGATCCCTCAAAAGTAACCTTCTTTCTGTTTTTATGCTAGCTTGCAATATTGTTAAAAGTTTTATACTACATGAATTTAAGGCTGCTTAATCATTTCATTTAACAGCACTGTTTATTATCATAATAGAAATGGATATCTACATGGAAATTTTATTTCTTGTTTAATATATAGTTTATGCTGATTATCTTTTAAAAGAGAAGGTTATTTTTCTTCTACAGGCATGGGGTTTTATTCTCTGTGTTGTAGCCAATATAGATATTGTAATACTTCTACCTTTTCCAGAAAAAATTACTTATGTCATAAAAAGCTATTGAATTCGGTGAATTGATAGATCAAAATTATATTGTTTTTACAGGTTTTCTTTCAAGAAATTTCACATTGTATCTAAATTTTCATTAATATCATCAGGCACAGGCCATTCAATTTTTCAAATAACAGAAGAAATCTTCCCTGTATTAATGTAAATACAAATACTTGATCATATCACAATACTTCTGATTTACTCTGTTTTCTAGCCTTCTAGCTAAAAGAACTAGAATGTGGGCCCATGATTTTATCATTGAATATTTACTAACTTGCCAGATGTTGTACTTTGTTTGGCAGTTTCACAAAATGGGGGTGCAAGGCTTTCTTCAATGCTGTGTTTTCTTTACTAGGTCTTCACCTTGTTTTATTTCATTTAAGGAGTGGTTAAAACAAAAGGTAGTATGAGACTCAGTTCTTTATGAAGTTGAGTTAGGTATACTTTTTATGCTGAATTACATTAATTTGAAGTTTGTTGTTGTGGCTTGTTTGCCTATTGTTTTTGGCTGGTGTAAAGGATGGCTATTGAAACCTGTTGCATGGTTCATATACATGCATCTGCTAGAATTGTCATGTTTATAAGAAAGAAACTTTATTTTTAGTTTGATTTTAAATATAAAGTTATATATTTATACCCCCCGCAAACGAAGTTTGGGGGGGTATATAGGAATCACCTTGTCCGCCTGTCTGTCTGTCCGTCTGTCCGTCTAGCTGTCTGTCCGTCTGTCTGTGCAATCGTGTCCGGTCTATATCTTTCTTACAGAGGGTCATTAGAATCTACTACTCCACACTAAGATTGCTCATAACCTAAGGGTGTGTCATGACCTTGACCCAAGGTCATTTGGGGAAGTTCAAGGTCACTGGAAGAAAAATTTCATAATTTGTGTCCGGTCCATATCTTTCTTATGTATAAACTTGGTAGGTTCTAATTTCACACAAAGATTGCCCATGACCCAAGGGTGTGTCATGACCTTGACCCAAGGTCATTTGGGGAAGTTCAAGGTCACTGGAAGAAAAATTTCATAATTCGTGTCCGGTCTATATCTTTGTTATGGATAAACTTGGTAGGTTTTCAATTCACATAAAGATTGCCCATGACCCAAGGGTGTGTCATGACCTTGACCCAAGGTCATTTGGAGAAGTTCAAGGTCACTGGTAGAAAAATTTAATAATTCGTGTCCGGTCCATATCTTTCTTAAGGATAAACTTGGTAGGTTTTCATTTCACTCAAAGATTGCCCATGACCCAAGGGTGTGTCATGACCTTGACCCAAGGTCATGTGGGGAAGTTCAAGGTCACTGGAAGAAAAATTTCATAATTCGTGTCCGGTCCATATCTTTGTTATTGATAAACTTGGTAGGTTCTTATTTCACTCAAAGATTGCCTATGACCCAAGGGTGTGTCATGACCTTGACCCAAGGTCATTTGGGGAAGTTCAAGGTCACCGGAAGAAAAATTTTATAATTCGTGTTTGATACATATCCTTATTATGCAAAAACTTACTTCTAAAAAACCCTGCGGGGGGTTTTTTGTCCCGATTGGACAGTTCTAGTTTAGCAAGTTGTTCTCATGATTTTATACTTATAAACAAAGTACTTCTTTATTGGTTTTGATAAAGTTGTTTGTGTTTGAAATTCCAAATTCTAATGAAATACTTGAAAAGATACCTGTAAACAAAACTATTAAACAAAGATGCTTTACATGTTTGAAGGAATTTTGATTTACTTTATGAGGATGCCTATCCATTTAAAGATAAAAATTGCGCACAACCGTGCAATATGTATTTCTGTTGAAATTTTACTATTTTTAACAGTTGTTTTTTCAAAATCAAAATTTCAGAATTGTTTTTTTCAAGTCAATTCAATATGCAAATGAGAGTGATTTGTCTTTGATTTATAGCGATTTATAGTGATGTCTGTCTGTCTGTTCGTAACACTTTAGGGAAGCCATCTCTAATATGACCAGACAGAGATTTGGGTTAAACTCTAGGGAAAAAAAGAGAAGACTTTGCTCATGTATCATTTCTTGAGCTCGCTGCTCACAATGCCTCCAGTTTTGAAATGTTTTTTTTTATCCATTTTCTTTTTTTTAATTGTAACAATCTTATCAAATTTCATTTCTTTTTGTACAAATTCTCTGTCACCTTTTATATTATTATGAAATGCAAAGTTGATGAAAAGTTTACAAGAAAGAAATATTCATGACATGTAACATATAGAGCTTATATCAGGTAGATAAATATAAGATAGGTTCCTCCTTTCATGTTATATAGAAAGAAAGAAAACTTCTTTTTATTCAATTCCTGTTCATTAATAATGCAATAATAAAATGAAAGGTCAGTCATCTCTCATTTGTTGTACTATATCTGAATATATGGAAATGAGATTTGTTGCACACAACTAAATTAATTTACCTGTACTTTTGTTCAGACAAATCATGCATGATTCATGCATGATTAAAAGAATGTATGAAGTTTTTTTATTTTTTGTGTGTATGATTAAACATCTAGGATTAAAGCATGCATTGTTTTGTACAAGGTGAAGAATTTCCAGAGTATGACCGGTCTGTTTATGCAGCCCAACGCGACCCCCAGAGAAGAAACATCAAACAAGGTAGCCAGATGGCTCAATTAAAGAAAAATGAAAATTTAGTTGAAATTCTGGTTGAAATTCTGTTTTATGAAAGTTGAAAATCAAAGGCATACATGTATGTAAAGACTCCAGCAAAATTTTGCATTTGGAACCTTGTACAATTCAGTTTCTACCTATAATCCCATCACCTGCCAGGCATACGCTGGCTTTGAGGATTGGAAGGATGAAAATCCTGTCAAAGGAAAACGCTCTCAGTCCCACCCCTCCAGCATGGGTAATGATGGACAAGTATTTATTGATCAGTGTGGACTGCTTTCTATTTAGCACCTTTGTAGGTCTGTTGCTGTTTCAACTTCATGACAAGACAAAAAATAGATCACGAAATGTCCTGGCGTTTTGTTGAACAGCTTCCATGACTCACCCACATCACTTACTGTGTACAGTCAAGTCAATCAAATTCATTTCTCATTCATGTGTACCGATAATATTCAAAGTTTATACTTCTGAAATTTATATTACAGGTTTAAAGTTAATGAAATAATTAATGCATGCAGCTCAAAAGTAGTTTTGCATTGTTATCTTGATAATCCATTGTAAAATTGTCATTTTCTGAAAATTATTTTTTTTTCTTGACTGTATTATGTGAATTAGATTTAGGTACTTGCTCATAATACATGTAATCCTTGGAGTGTCTATTTTCTGTCTTTTAGTTTGCTAGTTCATTTCACTTTTTTTCTTTGTGTGATTTTTGCATGACCTATTAACATTCTGTTTTTCCATTATTTGTAGTGTAGTTAATGACATTATTTATTGAAGGTTTTTTACTTGACATGAAGTTTTGTTTTCTTCTGTGAGGAGTTTAGTGTTATAATATTGTGCTTAAATGTTGAAGCCTTTGACCCCCTCCCCTTTCTCCCTCAAAACTGATTAAAAATCCTTGTAGAGGGGAAACAATATAAAATATTTACTGGGACAAATAAATTACTAGAGATTATTTTAAAGAAAAAACAACTTTAAAAAATGTAATGGAAATTTTTCAGTGTTATGGAAACTAACCAAGGCCTGTTGAAGTCAGAATTGCCAAGTAAAACTGCTGATTTCAACAAGTTCAAGGTTAAACAATAAAAATGATACCATTTGTATATAGACTTGTCTGTAAAAGAAAAATATTTCAGAAATGACACCTCTGTGAATTGTTGCCATTGTATTTTTCCTGTACCAGTATACAGCAATTACTATGCTAGAAATATATTAGTGCACATAATCAAATCAGTACTAGTTAAATTTGAGAATTTTTAAATGAAAACGGTATATTTTCAGTCTAAAAGAAATTGAATGTATTATGATTCCAATCTAATTGACAGAAACCATACCTGATTCATCTCTTTCATTGAATCTTGTCTAGTATGCCTACCAAACTTAATCAATTAATGTAATTACAGGTGCCTTTAACCCCATCACTGGTGAGCCAATAGCTGGGTCTCCCCAGAAGGAACCAGAGGAGGAGGAGAGAAAGAGACGAGAACCAGAACAGGTAAAGAATCTCAAAGATACAAGGGAATCTGAAAGGACTGCTTTCTTTGTCACGACAGATTCTCATTTATATTAACAGTATTTTACTGATATCAAATTATTAGAATAGTTGTGTTCTTTGGGGGGGGGTGGGGGTAGGGAGGGGGTAACATTTTTATCAACAAGTCAAGGTATAAGAAAAGTTGCACTTGTTTGCAACCTTTTGGTTATCAGATGGTAAACTAAATTTTTTTTTCTTGTTCATCCTCATTATGAATGTATGACACTGGATTTTGTAGACTAAAGAACGTGGTGACGAGGGCAGCCAGCCAGGACAGCAGGCACTTCACACTTCTTCCCGAGTTCTAGCACCACCAGGTGGGAAGTCCAGTGGCCCCCTGTGGTGAGCGAGGTGATAACTAGTCTGGACCGGTCTAGTGTGCTGGCATCCAATACTTAGTGCAGTTTGTCCGGTCATCAGTTAACGTGTCATTGGAGATTCAGGGCATGAGGAATCTCATTCTCTGTAAATTATCAGATGTTTATGTGTATATGATCCGATAGTGTTTTGACATTAACACCAAAAGCTTGTATATGATTAAAACTATTAATTAGTTTGTACCTTTTTTCATTAACACTGCCATACAATATTGATTATTCTTATTAAGCAATATAGATTTGTGGAGTGTTGATACTGAAAGCTGGAATATATTTTTTTTTTGTTTACTATTCTTGAACCAAATATGTTTTTCTGTTCTTCATAGTGCTTTATGTTTTCAAATTCTTATTTTACAGCATGTTTTGGCAATATTTATTTCCAATTTGTGAACCGTATTTTATTTGTTAAACCTGTGACATGTGGACCAAATTTTTCCTAGAGTCTATGTTTATTTTTCCTGATCTGTTATATGTCCTGGTGTCCTTTGGTGAAAGTTTATGTTTCTGACACTACAGGAGGTATTGGTTGTATAGTGTATTTGACAAAAAGTTGTAAGAAATTTTAATAACAATTTATTTGTAAGCTATAATAAAGAGATCTCTCCAAATGTGAATCACTTCTTTTATAAAAATAGTTTTCAGTGGGAAAATATATTTCCTTGAAAGTTCTTTTTGAATGATTATGTAGTTTTTGCTGTCCCAGAAAATGGCATTGATTAACTTCAGGGAAATCAATCACTTGAATACCTTTGTTTGACTGAATTACTAAGTGACATCAAGTGCTCTGTTTTTTTTTTCATAAAACGATTATGTAATAGAATCAGGAAGCTAGGATTTTAAGAAATTCAGGAAGTATAAAAATATATAGATATACATATAGAAGTAGCTAATTGTAGGTGTCCAAAATTTGCATTATATTGAAGATGACTTACAAAAAAAATACACGGAAAGACTTTGGTGCAGGAAACCTCAAATAACAATGCATTTCTACAGCGAGTTATGTGGAGACAAATGAATACATGCCATCCAATTTTCACATCAACTCATTTTGTCAATGTTCAACGTTTTATGTTGTCCTGACATCAAAACGCATTCTTTAATTTGATGACCCCGTTCCTGTTGTATGGTGTTTGAATACTGTACTGTCGTATGATGTAAATATCAGTTATTTTACATTGACATTTTAATGCGCTAATGAGAACGCTCCTCATAAGTACTTTCGTAAGATGTAAATTAGTACTAAGTTAGCTTTCTGAAACGGGTCCCTGTTCTAGGAAAACCCATTGATCTTTTATCGTAGGTTAATTTTTTGGCGCAATAGTGTGAAACTTTCGCGACCAAACGCCTAACGTTCGCTTTATTACGCGACACTTGGGTTGCAAAACTGAGACGTTGCCATAAGTGCCAATTTTCATTTTAATTTATGATATACAATTCAATGTAAAACGAAAGGCTTTGTTGAACTTTGACTATCACAAACTGCAATTGTAAGTTTCCTCGCCATTGAAAGTGCCTTTCCTCTTTCCAAATCTTTTTATGGAATATTTTATCCTTCTCAATTAACACTGTTTAAAAAATTCAAAGTCCATTCGAGTTTTCCCAAATTGAAACTATAAATAATTTTTGGAAAAAAATATCATCCCTTTCTGACATAATTTTTTAACATTACAGCAAAAGAAATGAGTTTAGTTTGTCCAGGGACATATATACTAAGTATATGGGTGCCTGGTTTGTCAGTAGTATCCCATCATATGCATGGGTGACCTAATGTGAAAATCAGAAAAGACTCGCTGTATAATTTATACACCATCGCATTTCGAAGTTGCATGGCCAAGTGGTCATATCATTACATTATATGATAATATTGACATTTAATTCAAACTACAATTTTTTTGCTGTAAACCTAAATTTAATTTTAATATATTGCGCTAGTCCACAAACTTTTTAATAACTCCTCGTTTATTAAAATCACTATGGTGATAAATCAGCTGAGAAAAGTATATCCCTCCTCCTCGATTAGTAATAAACAGTATAATCATTCTTCAGTAAAAAGCATCATATCATAGGCGTCTAAGCTGGGGGCGCTAGGGGGTGGGGGTTAGCCCCCCCCTTTTTTTTTGCAAAGAAGGGGGGAGTAGTCATGGTAGTAGTGTTTGGAAAAAATGTGGTACTGAAAGAAGTTCGAACCTAACCCTTCCCCCCCCCTTTTTTCTGCTTGTAAGGTTTGTAGGTCTAACAAAAACTTCTCTTACACTTAGCGCCCCCTTTTAATTTGCTTCCGACGCCAACGCATATATGGCACAATATCATCAATAAAATAAGTTATAAAATTGTTCCCTCATTTTTAAGCGCTAAGCGCAGCGCAAAGCGCTTTCTGTCAGCGTAAATCTACTTCCGTTCGCGATCCAGCGCCTCTATAAGCAAGTTAGATAACTCCTCTTGATATATTAAAAATACGCAACTGGAAATCTTCAGTGTTCTGCTATTTTAGTGTACTGCTGCGTCACGTGCATTAAAAAAAAATAGGAAGCAATTAGTGAAGAGAAATATTCCACAGCTAGTAGATAAAAGCAGTTCTTACCATGCTCTTCACTTTACATTGTAGTTCATTTAAATCATATAGGCACACATTACTTTTGTTTCATGTAGCTAATAATTGCTGCATCTATTGCACAAATACTTAATTAAAAGTAGTATATTATTTATCATGTACATGTAATATAGTGATTGAATAAATACATAATTTAAAAATCAGATAGGATTTTAATAATTAAGTTTTATAAATCTCAAACTGGAAGTGAGTTACTAGTATTCTGTATTAAAAAAAAATAAAATTGATTAATAATGCACTACTTACATAATATGGTGTGTTCCTTATAACTTATATCCATAAAACTATTAAAAGAGAAAGTACCCTTACTTCAGGAAAAAAAACAAGCCTTGTATTAACACCTTGAAAACCATACCGAGAGCTATCAGTGAAGATGATTAACATTTAAGTATCAATTAGTAACAAACTGCAATGCATTCATGAACTGTCTTTTTTAATGTCTTTACTTGTGTTGTACTCTATATAATTGTATCATATGGGTATATACATTATGCAAATAATTCGAAAGGAAAGGCAGTGTATATGGCTGTACAGGCATGTAGGGCATGTGGTGGTTGTGTTATATAATTTCAAAAGTATAACTTATTTCGCGGTATAGTGTGCTATATAATTGTGTGTAGTGTGCAGGACCGTCGTGTAAAAATGCTAAAACCCTTTACATGTAATTAACGTTCTTAGCAATGGGCAGGAATAGGGCTAATGTAATGTTAAGCAAACAGTTTGATACATGAAGCAGAAAACTATAAGGAAGAAATAGTTTATGTAAAAATATGCCTCAGCTGTGTTGCCATTTCTTAATGAAAACTAAATAAAAACAGAATAAAACAACGTTGTATATCTTCATGAAGATTTATTGATACTTGAGATTAATACTTGCATATATTTTCATTCTTGGTCTCTTGAATTAGTTATCATTGAAATAGCAGAAAATTATGAGCAATTATTTTCAGTATTCCTTTTCAACTAGCACGACAATGTCGTAGATATTTTTCAAACTCTCAGTGCCATGGTAGTGAAGATCATACATACACTAGTAAAGAATGGTGTAAAGCACCAAGCGTCCGTAAAAAATATTGGAGCATTTTAAATAAAATGAAAATTTCAAAAAATGCTTTTAAGGGTTAAATGAATTTTTTTATTCCAAAGAATATTGTAAAAAAAAAATTGTAAAAAATATATTTACAAATGAGTAAAATTTAATTTTCAAAAAATAATTGTAAAACCCATAAATCATGTATTTGAAAATCAGAAAAAAAACAAACAAACAAAATTTTATTAATAATTCTCTTAAAATTTGACTTCATACGTTTTAAGCAGAATCTCCACGTCACAGTATAGCACCTTAATTACAAAACTGCACAATTAAAATGACGTCAAATAAAACTGATCTTGCATACCTATATCTGCTATACATGTTGAAAGCTGGTATTTTATATTTACATTTTTTTTTTAATTTAATTAATAAACAACTTTGGAACATGATTTTTTTTGAGATATCATTTTCGTAAAGGAGGTACATATTCATTAATTTTACCTTGTTTTATTTCAATTTGTCATATAAAGAACATAAATTGCAACCAAAAGTAAACGATTTTAGTCTTTCTCCTTGAACATGTTGAAGTGTTTATACACAAAAAAAAAAAACTTAAATATGCATGGAACGTGCTTTCAAGAAAAATCAGTCTATGAAACATTTATGCTCACCAATATTATTTTTCTATATAATACATGATATTAGTAAAATTGTTTTTATTTTAGATTTTCCACGTATAATACATTGACCTGTAATGGAAAAAAATAAAGAATATCAAAATATTTCAAAATGTAAGAGTTATTTATTTTTTTAAAAACTAATACAGTATTGCAAACGTTTGTTGATGTTATTTAAACCCACGGCGACTTATTTCATATCTATTATAAAATAAATATTAATTTTGTGTGAAATACCCCATTTTCATGAATAAAGGGAAAAATTTTCTTTTCATTTTTTATATAAATTGCAGATATATGTGAAAAACAAAACATTTCATCAAAAAATTTTCAATTTCTTTGTTTATATGGAGAATTTTACTATGTAATTGTGTATAAAAACCCGAAAAATGGTCCATATCTTGACAGTGCCCCCATAAAACTACAATAAAGGCAAGGCACAAATTTCACCTAATTTTTCAGCATAATGGTAAAAATATTGACAAAAATTAAAATTTTTTATCATTCCGCTCGTAATTTTAAAATGACTGTTAAATGTGTCTGACAAAAAGGGCGTAAATTCTTGGATGTTCATTAGAAATAATACATTTTGTTACATGACGATGTTACAAATATGATGCCAATCTTTTTGAAACACTCGTAAACGCGGAATGAATGTGTTATTGAAAATGATCACCAAAAGATTTTAGAAGGTGTTGCACACAAATGATCACGAATTTTAGCGACATTTAAATGTTTAAATTTATTTTTACCTCTAATACAAGGTGGTGGTATAAGAAAATATTTTTACACGCAGAAATATTTTTTGCAATTTAATATATTTGATTTGATTGATTTTTTGACTCCAGGAAGAAAATGTAAAATGCTTTTAAAAAAGTCATTAAAACAAAACACACACACAATCAAAAGGGAAAATAAGAAGCACAGTATTTGATAAATTGTTTTAATTTGTAGCCCATGTCAACCTATTGCTTTCAATATACAACAGGAAATTTAAATAAAATAATAAAATGAAGGTATATTAGATCTTGGAAGTAATTTTCAGTACTTTGATTATAACTGTAATCTTTCAATAAAAATGGACATAAGGCTTAATCAGATATTTTAAGTATTTTCATTTTATTTGCAAGTTCAAAACTAAACAGCAAATTCTGAAAAATTAATAATGTCTTTCATTTGACTCGAAGTGAAAGAAAGGTGCTGGTCAATAGAGAAGTTTGAGAGAGGGACGAAGTCTTAGGGTATGTACTAATTAGGGTACACACTGTTTCAATGTTTGGATATAGGTGTACATTATCTCGGGTAATGTGCAATTGCTATATGAATATTATGGTTATCTGTTTGAATAATAGATTTTACGAACAAACTATGAACACGAATATGCTGTATATAACAACGAAAACTTTGCAATAGCTAATTCATGAAAAAATAAGGTTGTATTCAGGAAAATCTTATCTAATTAGCTACATTAATTATGATGTGAACATGTATGTATGTTTAAAAACTGCAAACGCAGCAGTGAGCAATATAAAGCGTATTATACTGAGGATATTCGAACTAGGGTCTAATCAATGTTTACATGCCTAGTAACTGACAATTCAGTATTGATTATTGAAAGCATATTATCAGAAAAAAAAGTTTTTAAATATGTGTTGCAATCAGCAATTATTGGCAGGGTTGACATTTTTTTACTAGTAATAAGCCCTTTGTGTCTAGCTTATTAATCGATGAGTTTCAAACACTATTTATAAAAATTTTATTTTTATCATTTCAGTTATAACAAATGAATAATGTATCTCTCCCACCCTAAAACACCTTTGAAGCCTACAAAGAGTGCACTTCCAGTTTTTGGGAGTATAACTAGAAGTCCAAGAACACCGCCTTCCTCTTCCCTATATTCAGAATCAGATGGTGGCGCCGGGACACAAGGGGGCTATTATTCAGACACATTTGTGAGTGAATCTGCATATCAAGGAGGGGATCAACAGCAGAAGAAAACTCCCAGAAAAGGGCAGATCAGCTTCAAAGAAAATGATATTACGGAAACAATTCACACAGAAATGCCTTTTACTGGCAGGTCAACAACAGACATTCCTTTCACCGGTAGGACTGTCAAGTCTTTAACTGAGAGGGCCATAACAGAGATAGAGACTTATATATCAGAGTATGATCAAAGTGAAAAAATTGTTACAGTTACTGAAAAGTTACCCTCATTGTCGGAAACTAAATCTAGTCAGTCTTTATATTCCAACACATTTGAAAGTGATTCCCAATTCAGATCATCCAAAAGTGACCATGAATCAACTGTGTATGATTATTCAGACACCTTCCAGTCAGCTGGGCATTCAGAAAGAGACACTACTGATCATGACTATGACAAATCAGACTACACATCCACACTCACTGAAGATTCAGTGACTCAGTCAAGCACATTTAAATCTCTGGAGGAAACTGTTGCATCAGCATCACCAACTCCTGAGTCCTACAGTTTAACTTTTGAGGCTGATTCAGAATCTGAAAGGTAATAGAAACAGAAATCTCCTACAAAGTTGCATCGCCTCAAGCCACGGTCCGGAGTCCTCATATAGCTCTCTCCTACCCGTGGCTGCTTGATCACAAAAAGTTTCGTAATCTTGAATATTTACGCCTCTATATTGTGACATCATATTCAGTCAATGACAAGTTTTGTTTCCATTGCAATTGAAATCAACAATTTACATCAGCAGTATTTCATACAATTTGATTGGGTATTGAAAGGTTGCATCAAAGTTCATAATCCGATTATGCTTTACTCGCATTGGTCAGTATTTTAATGAGCTATGAAATATTCTCTTCTCATTCAACCATGGGCAGAATTAGAGAGCATTGTATATTTTGGCCATGGTTTGCGACAATGACAAAATTGTTGAGTTTGAATATACACTGTATACAGGGTTATTTTCGCCCCGTCTTATTTTCGCCCTTTCACTCTTGCAAATAATTCTGCCCCGTCTTAAATTCGCCCAGTCAAAATTGTTTTAAATTCGCCCAAATGAGTTTGAATATATATTCTCTTGAAAATATGTGTGTGAAATAATGATTGTATTTGTAAAATCCCACTCATAAAATTATTGAAGAATAGAATTTTGTATACAAATGTTTGAAGGAGAAAAAAGGATACATTTCCACGTGTTATCTTACTTTCAAATATTAAAACTTTTTTTATTTTAGAGAATACAGTGCAGATTTTGAGGAGAGTACTTCTCTAAAAACTGAATACACTGATACATTTTTGTCCCTTGGAAGTGTAGAGGACTCCTCGGAAAAGGTTTGTGATGAGAGTCTTAACAGCTCTTAACATTTTCATAATTAGCAAGTAGTTGGATAGATTTGTTTTATCATGTTTTTATTAAAGACTAAAGTTCTGGCTCCGGGGCCATAAAATTAAGAAGACAAGATCACTTTTCATCTCAGTCTAACCTTTACTTAAGAAATTACATGTAGTAGTAGAAATGTGAGACTGAGATCAAAAGTGAACTCATCTAAGTTTTATGCCAGGGGCCTGTTGCTTTAGATATAGAGTAAAATGCTGTGTTTGCTGTATGTAATCAAGAAATAGCAATATATCTATTATTAAATAGATTAGACAGGCAGAGGAATTGAAAAAAATCAGCCAAGAAGCGGAGGAGAATTTTATTGCTGCCATGGTTACTCACATCAAACAGAAGCCAATGAGAGACACTGATCTTTCAGCACTGATCGATAAAGAGCTGGAGAAACCAGGTGAGTGATAGCATTGTTAGCATATTATACAAATAAACTCTTGTAAACAACAGATACAAAAAAAGACTTTCATGAAATTAACCGTATAACAAAATTACCAAATAATAAACCAACTTTCATCATCCATGTGATATATTGTAGACCAACTTTTATTTGTGTGCAAGAAATTTTAGTGAGAGTTCTGTGATCATGAATATTTCTCGCTGCGAACTGGTCCTTAAAGACTATCTGCCTATAAACAACAGACCCAAAATAGGATTGATCATGAAATTGATCGTCGTGAACTTTTTTATCCATGTTAATTCACAAAATAAAGTCACAAATAAAAGTCGTGTTTACAGTACTTGTGTGTGCAATTGTTTTATCAATTTTGCTTGTCATAAATTTGTCTGTTAATATGGTGGAAAATAAATTGAAGTAAAATTTCTTAACAGATTATGAAGTACTTGACAGACATTCCAAGAGATACATCAAGAAGAAGATAAGTTTACTGAAACAGAAGCTCAAAAGAGGTACATATTTTCTCTACCACTGTCTTATACATAGATAATAAAGCTAAAGGACAATCAACGTGCAGGATAATGAACTGGATACAAATGAGTTGCTGCATTTCAGTTAATGAAATCAAAATACTGTTATGTTGATTTGTTTTGATTTTCATATAACAAAACAATTATTGGCTGTTTTTTAGAATATCATTGGTGATATAAACCTACTTAGGACAAAATTTGCTCCTCATTGGGCAATATTTCATCCCTTGGAGGCTAACATGTTTACTTAACCCCAGCCAATATTTGTGTAATATTTTTTTGTAGGAGAGGAAGGTCAGAGCCCCCGAGAAGAGACCAATCAGTGGGAGAGTAAGAGGACCCACCTGATCTCTGACTACGGAGTCCACCCCGCCATACTGGACAAACTCAAACTGCACAACTTCAATCACGACATGGAAAAAGTAAAGTCTACCTGCTTATGTTTTGTTTGTGCAGTTCAAAATGACAGAATCAGATGTTTTGAGATATATTTCTTGAGTTTTTAATTCATAGTGGGTGTCAATTTGATTTAATACACTGCTTCAACATTATTTAACTGATTAAAGAGGAAAATGAAAAAGAAGGGAAAAAATTGCAGTACCACAGTTTTCATTTGAAAATATTTACAAGGAATACATGTATATAGTAATGATGATTAATTCAATTATAAGACAGTAGACAATAGGCCAACCTGATATAAACCTGTGGAAGCATTTTTTGTGGTTTAAAAATGACTTAGCTTACTTACCTGTATGAAATCAAGATCAGACTTGGTGTTGTCTTCAGCACTGGCATCGTGGAAGTCCATTCTCATGTAGCTATAAACCATACCTGGAACATTTTTGCTTGAATGATAATCTACAGATGCGCACTATCAGACATGCTTCTGATGCTGGATCCAAACTTAATTACTGGGATCAGCGATTGGGTTAAAATTTCTGAACTTTCAGAGATCGTGCAAACAGAAAGATTGAATAGATTAAAGTTTTAGGAGGGAGTCCAATTCCAGAAAAAAAATAAGTCCACACTTGGATGAGACATTTAGAAGTATATACTACAAGAATATTCATTTGGTGTAAAAAAAATGTGACATTTAGGAGTATATACTACAAGAATATTCATTTGGTGAAAAAAAAAAAATATATATATGGATTGTTATTATTTGTTGAGGTGAATGTAATTGTCACTGAGTGTCACCATTTTCTATTACCTACATTTATTGTATTTTACAGGCAGCACAGACAGAAATTCATGATCCCCAAAAATGCAGAGAATGTAGGTAGGTATTGTAGAAACAGAGACAGACTTATTCTTTGTGAAAACTAAAACAAAATTCTGTTAGATCTACAGAAACATTGTCCATTTTCAGAGTCCATCAGTTGTCCCTGGATGCTGCAGCAGCTGAAAGGAATTTCCTCCGATTAAAAACACGAGAAGTCAGACAGAGAGAGATGGAGGATAACTATCACAATCATCTGGTCAGAATGGTACGTTGTAGTGTAACTACCACAATCATCTGGTCAGAATGGTGTGTTGTAGTGTAACTATCACAATCATCTGGTCAGAATGGTGCATTGTAGAGTATTAACTACCACAATCATTTCATCAGAATGGTACATTGTAGAGTAACTATTACAATCATCTGGTCAGAATGGTACGTTGTAGTGTAACTACCACAATCATCTGGTCAGAATGGTACGTTGTAGTGTAACTACCACAATCATCTGGTCAGAATGGTACGTTGTAGTGTAACTATCACAATCATCTGGTCAGAATGGTACGTTGTAGTGTAACTATCACAATCATCTGGTCAAAATGGTACGTTGTTATATAAATACCACAATCATCTGGTCAGAATGGTACGTTGTAGTGTAACTACCACAATCATCTGGTCAGAATGGTACGTTGTAGTGTAACTACCACAATCATCTGGTCAGAATGGTGTGTTGTAGTGTAACTATCACAATCATTTCGTCAGAATGGTGTGTTGTAGTGTAACTATCACAATCATTTCATCAGAATGGTGTGTTGTAGTGTAACTACCACAATCATCTGGTCAGAATGGTATGTTGTAGTGTAACTATCACAATCATCTGGTCAGAATGGTACATTGTTATACCTGTCACAATCATCTGGTCAGAATGGTACATTGTAGTGTAACTACCACAATCATCTGGTCAGAATGGTACGTTGTAGTGTAACTACCACAATCATCTGTTCAGAATGGTATGTTGTAGTGCAACTACCACAATCATCTGGTCAGAATGGTGTGTTGTAGTGTAACTATCACAATCATTTCGTCAGAATGGTGTGTTGTAGTGTAACTATCACAATCATTTCATCAGAATGGTGTGTTGTAGTGTAACTACCACAATCATCTGGTCAGAATGGTGTGTTGTAGTGTAACTATCACAATCATTTCGTCAGAATGGTGTGTTGTAGTGTAACTACCACAATCATCTGGTCAGAATGGTGTGTTGTAGTGTAACTATCACAATCATTTCGTCAGAATGGTGTGTTGTAGTGTAACTACCACAATCATCTGTTCAGAATGGTACGTTGTAGTGTAACTACCACAATCATCTGGTCAGAATGGTGTGTTGTAGTGTAACTATCACAATCATCTTGTTGGAATAATGTAGACAGACTTTTTGTCCATTTTGGAATATATGTGATAACTATCAGTGTGACATGAATATCTCTGCTGAAATGCAAGTTTTGAATATCATAGTTCTGTCTAGCACCTTTTGCTGAAAGCAGCTTCTTCTACATCAAATACATGGACTGTACATCACTGAAAGACTTCAAACACATTGAAAAACTGCTTAATCAAATGATATAAAAATACCTGGGTATGTCATTTACTGATGGAGTCATGCACTGATCCTATATTGCATTAAATTGCGTGATGGTTATGTGTAGGGTATGGTTGTCTTGTTTTCTTTAATCATTCAAGAACAATATTTTAAATGACCTGTTGACCAGATTTCCTTGAATACTAGCATGAGTTTATTATCATTGATCAGGTATTCTAAATCATAAAATATCGCTTATGAAGTACCCGAGTTATTGTTCCTTATTGAGAAAAGTGCATTCCTTATAAAGAAACAATAACAAAACTGGGGACTACATTTTCTTATCTTTATTTATAGGATTCAATAAACTTGATAGCAGACATAGCCCGTTCGTTACCAAGGGCAACAGAGGACCCAGAAACCATTGAGGACCAGTTATTCAAGGGACTTAACCTTTCAAGGGCAATCAGTAAAAACAGGCTATCTGCCAGTTAAATTGTGCCTGTTCAAACTTCAGTAATAAATTTGTATTATTATTGATTTTATTTATGTTGTTCTTCTCAGTTATGCCACTTTATCGTTATGTTGCATGAAATAGCATCACAGATTAACTGAAAGTACATGTAGTAGTGAAATAGTTTTAAAAAATTGATCAACAAAACTTTTTTGGCTAAATGCCCTATATTAAAGTACACTACAAAATAAAGGCTAAAAGAACAATTGCTCGACAAGATTTTATTTCCTCTACCTACACAAATTTGATCATGGTTTACAATGGGACGGAGGAAAATCAGAGACAATAGGAAAAAATATTATGACCAGATCTAAATAACAACATCGATGTTACAACCTTAAAGCAATATTCAAAATACAAATTTACTATAACAATGACAACCGGTTAATGGAAGACTTTATATTAATGATACATGTACTAATATTCATAACCTTGAATCTTTAAAATAATATCTGTCAGAAAGTCTTGACATAAGTAAAAGTGTTGAAACTAATTTGTCCTCTTCTTTATATAATCATTAATATTCTAAATTTCAGTTATAAATTGTATCTAAACATAAATACATGTACATATTAGAATTACAATGTTGCACAATGAAGTCGTTTAATTTCCCTTTTGAATAGAACATGTTGAGCTTCATTTTGAATACCAGGTAGTTGATTGTCAAATAATGACACATCCATTTCTTTAATAAAAAGGAAAATAGTTCATGCCATAAGGCGTAAAACAAGTATTCCATAAATACAGCCAATCCAGTTGACAATCAACATAAACACTGAGTAAACACATTTGACCAGTAATGAGTTGTGATAACTTCAATAAAATTATAATGCTTTACATAATTTTTTGCAATACGAGATTTTATTAGATTCTGAAGTGGGTAGTCACTCACTCTCCAAACTTCAAAAAATCTCCATTTCAACAAAACACCTCCTGCTATTGCAAAGAGTAGAATGTCATAAAACTCTGCAACAAATATTACTTTCTTCAAAATCTCCATTACAGTAAAACTCATTTTGCTGTTACAAAGAGTGTGACAATGAATATTGCTCTCTCAATTTTAAGAATTGGGTGTGTCATTATTTTACATTGACATTCAAGAAAAGGAGTCCAAAGTTCTCTTCAAAGGAAAAATTTTACCACTTCAAAACACTTCATTGTATTTAATGGTAAACTTTGAAATGTTAAAGAATCTTAATATGCTTGAATTATATTTAGAGGGAAGTTAAAAAAAAAAAAATAAATAAATTGCAATAAAAATTGTGTAAAAATACCTCATAAAACAGTATTGGGTGTACATTGTAAGTGCATAAACATGTCAAAATCCAGCATATAAAAAATTTTGAAGAAATGCCAAGTATATGCATAAAATATATGTTGTGGTAAGTAGTGCAAAGTGACAAATGGTACACATATTTTGCAATTTTATACATTTTATTTTCTTGTCACCCAAATAAAAAATATTGACACAAGCACATCAGTTGGAAAAAAAAAATTGACGTCCATTCATGTACTGCTTTGTACATTTCATCAGAATCATTATTTCAATGAAAAAATAAGCTCTGTTCCAAATCTTTCAATTACATCACCAATACATTTTTTCAGTGATAGTGTGACAATATGAGGTATCAGTGTAAAATATCTTTTGCTCATGACTAGATTTCTTATCACAACCCTAAAAACCAACAGATCTTGATCTAATACTCAGAATCTGAAGATAGATACATAACATGTTAATCTTAACAATATGAGCTCTGGAAAAGCAAAATAACAGGGAAATTACCATGTTATTTCATGGTAACTTTACAGTTTAAATGATAAATTTTCATCATGGTATTCATATACAAGTATCATCTATATAAAAATATATAAAATCTATCATTTCAAAAAATTTCAACAGAAATTTCTATAAAAGAAAGCAGCTACAGTACAGCACTTCTTAAAAGACAATGATATTTGAGTTCATTGTATCCAATACATGTCCTATTTGAAAAAAAGAGCAAGACAAAACCATGCAGAACAAGATAAGTAACACAAAGAAATGAAGAGACTGGAAGACTAGCTTGGCTGATTAAACATACATTATTGTTCAGAGAAGTATAAACAAGACATTGCAATCTTTGTAAACACAGGTATGATCCATTACTGCATTTATAATGTAAAACAGATTAGTGACACATATTGTTCAGATTGACATTAACGAAGACTGTGATATCACAATGTAAATGTATACAGGAGAGTAAGAATGGCACAGTTATTCCGACTGCTTCCTTGCTGGTTTGGGATCATGAGACGACGTATTGTGCTGGACACCTGTTTTAGGGTGTAACCAAGTCGTTGTCTGGGTAACATGACTAAGAAAAAAAATTATGTCAGACAATTAATTATATCTGTATCCACAATAACAATTACATGTAGTTTTAAGTTAAAATTTTTTTCATGTATGACTCAAAAGATGTATTTTATTAAATGAACAATTTTTACTGAATCCGTTCAATCTACAATAATTAAAATTCAACCTTAAAATTAATTGTGCCTGAAAAATAACTCATATACCATATATAATATCTTGAACTAAAATTACTTATAAATGTGCATGTACATGTATTACTTACTACCCGTAAATGTACAAATGTTTTATGATACTTACTTAATATAGTATCTCATGCCATCTGCAGTGTATGCCTCTTCCCATCCATAAGGTAAAGCTAAATGATAATTTTTACATTAAAGCAAGTCAAAAAGCATATATATTAAGTGTAGTCCATAAAAAAAAGTCATTAAAAAAATGTTTACTACGCTTTTTGTGAATCTTGCACACATGGGAATTTCTGTTTCATTTCAATGAAAGGTTTTTGCATGCATTAATAACACGGAATCTTTTGCATAAAAAATTGGAATTGCTTCTCTTAACTACTTACGATCTTTCTCTATGATGGATCGGACAGCAGAAACTACTTCTTTGGCCTCGGCAGCCAGGGCTTTAGGGTTGGACTGTTTATGTCTGCCCAGGTAGGCAGGTGGACGAGTATCTCTAGCTGGATCACCTTTTCTGTAATAATATCTCAATTTATGAATTTATCCAGACATTGTAAACTTGACACTGTTATCTTAACTGGGAAAAACTTACTTTGTGCCTAAATTGTTTCCTTGGGACATCATTGCTTCATGCACATTCTAAAATAACAAAATATTGAACATATTGGCTAATTCATTAAGCAAATAATATCAATGTACGATAATACATGGCCCAAGGTGAATCATCTCACCTCTGCAAATTGTAAGAGTTTTTCTGTGGCTACTTCATAGGTCTTCTTTTCTGCCTCCAGCTTCTTCAGTTGACAGGAAAACACTGTCATTTGTTGCTGCGTGTCTACGTTACTTGTCACATTCTGAAATTCAATGCAATGAGAAATATATTTCTTAACTTTCTATATTTATATTTCTGATATTGGGTAAGTTTCGCACCATTTCCACTGAGGCATACATTATTTTCTGTGACCAAGACTTTGAATCCATTTCATGCATAAAATAAATCGATTTAAATCTAATTGTGTAGCTATCTTTCAACAGAACAATTGAGTACTCTTGCTACAATAACCACCCCCTGTTTTGCTAAAATAACCACTCTATGTCTTGCTACAATAACCACTCCCTGTTTTACTACAATAGCCACTCCCTGTTTTACTACAATAACCTCTCACTGTTTTGCTACAATAGCCACTCTATGTCTTGCTACAATAACCACTCCCTGTTTTACTACAATAACCACTCCCTGTTTTACTACAATAACCACTCCCTGTTTTGCTACAATAGCCACTCTATGTCTTGCTACAATAACCACTCCCTGTTTTACTACAATAACCACTCCCTGTTTTGCAACAATAAGCACTCCCTGTTTTACTACAATAGCCACTCCCTGTTTTACTTCACTAACCACTCCCTGTTTTGCAACAATAACAACTCCCTGTTTTTTAACCACTCCCTACTACAATAACCACTCTATGTCTTGCTACAATAACCATTCCCTGTTTTACTACAATAACCACTCCCTGTTTTGCAACAATAACCACTCCCTGTTTTACTACAATAGCCACTCCCTGTTTTACTTCACTAACCACTCCCTGTTTTGCAACAATAACCACTCCCTGTTTTACTGCAATAACCACTCCCTGTTTTACTACAATAACCACTCCCTGTTTTACTACAATAACCACTCCCTGTTTTGCTACAATAGCCACTCTATGTCTTGCTACAATAACCACTCCCTGTTTTACTCCCTGTTTTACTACAATAGCCACTCCCTGTTTTACTTCACTGACCACTCCCTGTTTTGCAACAATAACCACTCCCTGTTTTACTGCAATAACCACTCCCTGTTTTACTACAATAACCACTCTATGTCTTGCTACAATAACCATTCCCTGTTTAAGGACAATAACCACTCCCTGTTTTGTTACAATAACCACTCCCTGTTTAAGGACAATAACATCTCCCTGTTTTACTACAATAATCACTCATCGACATGCTACAATAACTACTCCCTGTTTTACTACTATAACCACACCGTTTTGTTACAATAACCACTCCCTTTTTTGTTACAATAACAACTCCCTGTTTTACTATAATAACCACTCCCTGTTTTACTACAATAACCTCTCACTGTCTTGCTACAATAACACTCCTTGTTTTACTACATAATACTCCCTGTTTTACTACAATAACCACTCCCTGTTTTGTTACAATAACCACTCCCTGTTTAAGGACAATAACATCTCCCTGTTTTACTACAATAATCACTCATCGACATGCTACAATAACTACTCCCTGTTTTACTACTATAACCACACCGTTTTGTTACAATAACCACTCCCTTTTTTGTTACAATAACAACTCCCTGTTTTACTATAATAACCACTCCCTGTTTTACTACAATAACCTCTCACTGTCTTGCTACAATAACACTCCTTGTTTTACTACATAATACTCCCTGTTTTACTACAATAACCACACCCTGTTTTGTTACAATAACCACTCCCTGTTTAAGGACAATAACATCTCCCTGTTTTACTACAATAACCACTCACTGTCTTGCGTTCCTCCTTTAATTTGGCCACCTCCGCCTCCAGAAGCTGCACCACTTCCTCGTAGTCTTTCTCCACGTTCCTAGCCTCTCTCTGGGCTCTCTCCGCTATCTCCACCTTCTTCATCGCACCCTGGGCTTTCTGTAAAATTGTCAGAGTTAGTACTTAAGATACTAAGTGTTTATAAATGTACTCGATGATGAAGAGCAGTAGCTTACCAGCTGTATGTTATGCAGTTCTTCCTCTGCCCGACATCTAGCAGTCTCACTTTCCTGTAGCCTCAACTGTAATATTGTAGAATTGAACAATGAGTTCATTCAGTCCTTTTCAGGTAAAATTCAAGAAACAACAATCATAACAAAAAAAATATAATAAAAACAAGAGGCCCAGGGGCCACAGCGCTCACCTGAGCACATCGGGCTTGAATTTACTCCCCCCCCCCCCTTCCAGGCGTTCATCATTTGAACAAACTAGAATCTACACTACCTGAGGATGATTCCATACAAATACCCCGGGTATCACAAATCATAGCTCTGAAGTACTTGAAAAGAAGATTTTAAAAGGTTTCCCTATATATCCCTATGTAAAACTTGGGTCGGCCATTTTGGCCCCACCCTATCCCCAGGGCCGGGGGTCATGATTTGAAAAAACTTGAATCTACACTACCTGAGGATGATTCCACATGAGTTTCATCTTTCCTGGCCCAGTGGTTCTGGAGTAGAAGATTTTTAAAGATTTTTCCTATATATTCCTATGTAAAACTTGGGTCGGCCATTTTGGCCCCATCCTTGCCCGGGGGTCATGATTTGAACAAACTTGAATCTACACTACCTGAGGATGATTCCACATGAGTTTCATCTTTCCTGGCCCAGTGGTTCTGGAGAAGAAGATTTTTAAAGATTTTTCTTATATATTCCTATGAAAAACTTGGGTTGGCCATTTTGGCCCCACCCTTGCCCAAGGGGTCATGATTTGAACAAACTTGAATCAACACTACCTGAGGATGATTCCAAATGAGTTTCATCTTTCCTGTCCTAGTGGTTCTTGAGAAGAAGATTTTTAAAGATTTTTCTTATATATTCCTATGTAAAACTTGGGTCGGCCATTTTGGCCCCATCCTTGCCCCGGGGGTCATGATTTGAACAAACTTGAATCTACACTACCTGAGGATGCTTCCACATGAGTTTCATCTTTCCTGGCCCAGCGGTTCTGGAGGAGAAGATTTTTAAAAAAATGCCATTAATTTTTAACAAATTCATGATTATCTCCCCTTGGAAAAGGGCGTGGCCCTTCATTTGAACAAACTTGAATCCCCTTCACCCATGGATACTTTGTGCCAAGTTTGGTTGAAATTGGCCCAGTGGTTCTTGAGAAGAAGATGAAAATGTGAAAAGTTTACGACAACGACAACGACAACGACAACAACAACAACGACAACGACAACGACGACAGACAACGGACAAATTTTGATCAGAAAAGCTCATTTGAGCCTACGGCTCAGGTGAGCTAAAAAACAACCTGTTATTAATTTTATGAAAAATAATTTCAGAAAACATGTAATACATTCTGTTTAAGAAAACCTAGAATTTTTTTGTTGACAAAATAATTCCACCACTCCATACCCTGAGTCTCTGAACTTCCAGATGTAAGTCATCTCTCTCTTGTTGTAGGTCACTGTACTCATCTCTATAACTGTGTAGGTTATTTACCTGTAATAAATCAATTGAACTCACAGGTGAAAATATAGAGAAAAATCAATACAACACTTTCTGAAGCACTTGTGAATTTTATATCTTTGAAGACAGGTACCAAAATGGAAAATAATAGATAAAAAATATGTTTTATTGAATTACATGTATTTAGATCCAAAGATATTCAAGATGTCAACAAGTAGAGGTTCTCAACAAATTTTTATTATCATGTTCATAAGGAAAATAAAAGCATAAGATTTACTGAGTATCTGAAAGGTGGAGGCTCTACGATATCTGTAATATCATTAGCGGCAAACAGCATGGCACGGGGATCAATTCTTTTCTTTACTAGTTCTTCCTTAAACACATCTCTGACAACAGCTACAAAGTCTGTAGATTGCAAGATTTATGTATAAATAAACAAAAGCTTGACTAGCAAGTCTGAGGAAATAAATTCCCCAATACCTTTGGAACAGGGTCTTAACAAATCCGTAAGTCAAATTCTATCTGTGGTCTTTCAATTTTTTTTCTTGACAAGTTAAGGCCAAGACAAGCTTTGCATACACAATGAATGAATACAAAGAAAATTCCTATAGGCTGCATTCTGTAGGGGCTAATATTATGATAAGGTAATTTTCTATAAAGCAAAACCTGAAACCATATACAGTCAAAGTAAACAAAGTACAATGGATTCTTGCTTCGAGTGAAGATTTTCATTTCCTATGGATTTAAAAAACTTATTCTAAACCTACCATTAATACAGAAAGCCATGTTTAGAACAACTTGAAATTATTGTCCCTGGCATTTGGCTAAAAGCAGAGTTTTACTGTTATCATTATTATTAGTAGTATTATCTGGTGTAACTTCTTCCTGACTGTCCTTACCTCCATAGCTAACTGTTCCTGAGCTGTCTACCTGTAGTTGTTCTCTGAGGCAGGCTCCTTGTTCCCCCGAGGGCTCCAGACCAAGGTACTGCAGGGCCTTTTAGTAGTGAACCAAATATATCAGGTTAAGTGACAAAATGGCACAAATCACACAAAGTCTGTCAAAGTTATCTCTGATTATTTTAAACAAAGAAATCTCTTGATATATATCAAAACTGCATCTTTCAATCTGCAGAGTATAATAAAAAATACCTGTTGTACATGCATGTAAAAAAAATAAAAACTTTTCTAGAAAACTGGCTACCTACCACCTCTAGTTTTTCAATCTTCAGTCTTACAGTTGGATCCAAAGACAACTTTCTTGATTTTGACATGTTTCTGTATCGTGAGGATTCATTGGATGTTACCGATGTGAAGGGGTCAGAGGTCATGCTTCCTTGCACTGGAGAGGGATCCATGGAGTAGTGGGGTGGAAGGTTGTTACTCATCTTTCCACCTGTTCAAACAAATTTTCTTGCTCAATTGTTTATTCTTCTTACATTTCAGTAGACATTGAAATTAAAAGCTAGATCCCTGTTAACTGACCTTTCTCATGAGGTGTTGAAGCCATGCTTGGAATTAAATGTCTACCATTGGGAATAAAATGCCCTGGATGATGATGTGGCTCTCTTGTGGAAGAAAAACTATCAGGGACAATATGATCCTGATTATTTCTATGGTGGTGTATGATCTAGAGAAAATAAAACATATAGAAGAGTCCCATGGACCACAATGCTCACATGAGTCATAGTTCACAACTTGGATGTGGAGAAATAAATTCTTATAACAGCTTTGTACTCTCACTTAGGCCAGTTTTGACTCCAGATCATAATGCCATACATGTATTACCGTAATTTTCGGGTCATAGGTCGATGGGGTATATAGGTCGAAAGGCTCATTTTCAGCCTTAATTTTTGAAAAATCCTAAGATAGGACGAACTTACTATATAGGACGAGGCTTTGTTTCCCGTTTTCTAAAGATTCTTACGCAGATACAACGTATCAGAACAGGTAAACCTCTATATAATTACCGGGTAATTCCGTGACATGAGCGTAACAAGAAAACAAACAGGTGTTTTAATGAGTACAGCATTTAAATAAAGTTTTTTAAAAAATGTAGTTAAAACTTCGTTGAATTGTGTTACTACTTATTTTTCTCCAACTTGCCTGTTCAATGCCTCCGTAGTTTCATACTGTTGTTAAACCAGATGCATAAATAACACGTAAACACGTTCTTATTTTACAGCAATAATTCGGGAAATACCCGAGAACAAAGAATAATAATTCTGATTTCAGAACAACTTGGACACATTCCTAATATATTTTATTCAGACATTATTTACCGGTGGACGACAATTGCTTCGAAGTCCGCCATTTTCAGTTTTGTTCTTTAGGGATTTGCTAAAACCCGCAAACGACCATTGAATGTATACATAAAGCAATTGAAATAATATTACCACGCTATAAGTTTAATTAAATATTTAATTGAGAGTACCGGTACATTCACAATTTGACAGTCATTATGAATTTCATGGCTTTGTTTGTTCAATGATGTGCAACACTAATACCCTATAACGTCACGTGGATTTGCTAATCATGCCCTGAGGGTATTAAACCAACACAGGTGTTAAAACCTTTGCGTGTACACACTGTGTAAATCCTTTTATCTGTGAGACAATTAAAATTCTGTTAGAAGCCAATCTTTGTATAGCGCTAATTCGTTTGACCGGTATTATAATTAAATAAAATAAAAAAATATATATCGTAATGACTATTGGTTTATTTGGTAATTTAATTTAGGAATTGACTGGCAACAATTTATTTCACTCATTTTACACATAAATAAATATAAGACTGTCACATTAAAAAAAATTAATACTATTTCAATTTATCAATCTACTAATAAATGGTAAAACACTACAGTTGTGATCTTGAAAAAATTTCCGTATTTTAAATTTTGATACGGTTGCGGTTTTACTTTTAGTAAACGGTAGCGACTTCCTCACTTCACAAGATGGCTACCGCATGATGGCAATGGATAACACGTTGAGGAATTATTTACTTGATGAAGCACAGTTTTTTTCCTTTGTCATCAACGGATATGTAATGGAATTTATTTTGTAAGAAAGCTATAGAATAAATATTTTAATTGTTTACCTGGGCATTAATTTTTCTGCGTAAAATAATGAAGAAAGTTATGAAAGTGGCACAGATTTGCTTTGAAATTGACGTAAATTTTATTGATTTGGGGGCATTTTTCGTAAACTTGAGCCTTAGAAAGGTCAAATTCGTATATTGGTCGACCTCAGCGGTTCTGAGAAAAAAAGTATCGACCTATAATCCGAAAATTACGGTAACTAAAACCTGACTAAAACCTGAATCTTCATAATGATAACAAATTAGTAAGAGAAAAAATTCAGAAAGATATTCCTGAAAGAGAATTTTAAAGGATTTTCCCTTTTACATAACTATAATCATTTGAATCTTTATCAGCATTTGGAAATAGTATATTCACATACATGTGCTTTCAATTGGGAAAAATGCAATATGAAAACTGGACGTCTCTGACAAGACTGTAGCTCTACTTATGATAAAGATTGATTGATTGTATTATATTGTTTAACAACCCTCTCCAGAATTTTTCACTCATATTGAGACGCCACCAATTGCCGGTGGAGAGCTGCAAATTTTGCTCTTTACTCAGCACTTATGGCCATTGAGCAGGGAGGGATCTTTTTAGAGCCAGCACCTACTGTCACACGGGACTTCGGTTTATGCAGTCTGATCGGAAGGCAAACAGACAAACAGAAAGTTGGACAGATGTCTGACCTCTTACCCTATACAAAATTCTTCTGGTCTCTGATGATAGAGTCACCAAGAAACTCACCTCCTCCCTGGGTGAATGCTGGGGACTTGTTTCCATGAAGTATCTCGGAGAACTACATGAACTCCTGTCATTGTCTGATGACCCATTCATCAAAATCGCTTTCGGAATGTTGGTCTTTCCTATAAAAAAAATTTGATTAATCATGTAGTTTGGTATACATTAATGTATATGCACGGTACATATTTTTTTAGAACAATTTTTTTTTTTTCAGTTTTCTAAGAATCTTTTTATTATGCATTATTTTTTTATGTTAGTTTTAATAAAGTCTCTTACCTTAAGAGAAGTAAGAAATTACATCAATCAAATTTGCACAAAATATTTGCTCTATTAAAAATGACACTCTAAATGTAACTTCAATCAATTTATTTTAACTGTTAAATATTCCATTCCAGTAAAATATTACTATTAAGCTTTCAGAAATACTTTTCATACATGCTGACATTTGCAAATAAACTAGATATAATAAACTTTGGCCATAAAGTGTAATTCTGGTTTTTTGAATAATTTGGTATATCTGTATTTGTTATTATACACTTCAATGTATTTTACATGCCCTCCCCCTCCTTTTACCACTACCACTTCACACTTTTTAAGCCAAATTTTACTTTATGTACCACTGAAAAAATACCAGTGTTAGAATTTCAATTGGTCTGGTTGCTTTTTTTGGCAGCTGTTGCTATTGTTTGAATGAAAATTACACCTACCTTGGGTTTCTACTGGAATTGGGGTACATGGAAAACTCATTCCATTTTGTTTTTCTAGAATTTCCAAAAATTCTGCCCTGTTAAATGTAAATGATTTAAACATATTTTATTGTCTATATACTTTACAATTGGGATTGGGCAAAAGTTCTAAAAACTTTAAAATACGCCCTTTCCCTACATATGCATTATACCAAACATATTTATATACATGGGTTTCAGCTTAAAATGAATTAACACAGAAAAGCATAATACACTATATAAATGTAAACAAGACTTCAAAATTTGAACAAAGCATTATCAATTAATTCACACTTGAATATTTAGACTATACTCATTTGACTAAAAGGTTGAAACACAACAAGAAACTTAAGGGATATTTTACATACAACTGATGCAGCAATATTGAGCTTTTAAAAGAAAGAAGCAAACAAACAAACAGAAAAATCAACAGCATATTTTTCATATCACTGAAGAAGTATTAAAAGGGAAGTTTTTAAAAAATGATTTGTGTTTACTTAAAATTGTACAGTCATACGCAAAAATAACTTAATCTAAAAACCTACTTTGATTGTTCATCTCGAGCCACAGCCATTTCCACATGGTTAGATGCTGATGCTTGGCGCAGAATAGACACCGCTCTAAAGATATAACACAATTTGTTATCCAAAAGCAAATATTTATGTCTCCTTTTCTTAAAATTATCTTTTTAAGTGGAATCTCGTAAATTTGCAGATGATTATCTCATTGCTAGTCTAATTAAGGATACCTGTCATTTGTTATTCCTTGAAAACTTTCATCATTGACAGACAAAATTTCATCCCCTTGTTGTAATCTACCTGTAAAATGTCAATTTTGTATTGGTAAATTATACAATTAACTGCTAAGTGTGAATTTTTGCATAGGTAACTTATACAACTAAATACACTGAATACTTATGATGTTGATTTTTTAAGGCATAGTTACAATGAAACATAGTAACAAAACTGTGTATACTTTCTTTCTTTCTTTAAGACAACAGATAAAAAAAAGAAGTAATAGACACTTGTGTGACTCTAATCTCATAAAAAAAAAAGTTGTTGCTGTTACCGTCTTGATCTGCTAGACCGCCCGGGAAGATTCTCTTGATGAAGATCCCATTGACCTCTCTACCATCCCGGCTACACCCTCCACAGATCTTGATCCCTGATCACAAAAACGAATAACTCCAACATTTCAAAATACACAACCATTCAAATGGACTTTTGTAATTTAAAACAAGTTAATACAATACTATTCGTGTACATAAATTGGCGTATTCAAATTGTAGCGGAATAACTGGGTATTGAGTTGTCGGCGTAGTCATGAATAAGCGCTACACACTAACTTGCCTTATGTTTCATTTATAAAAGATTTCTTAGTGGCATTCATGAAAGCCGCTAAAATATGAAGCCTGCTTTTTAAGTACACATACAGTATACTGTATACAGGCAATTTTTTGCACAATTTTATTTTTGCCCATTTTCACTCTTGTTCCAAGTGGAGAAATTTAAAATGCAGTATCATAAGTAAACAGCATTGCCTCTTGAAGCCAAGTGCACCTGGAGAAATTTATAATGGGATAAAATTGCTAGTTTGACTGCATGAGAAAAACAAGGAGAAGAAAATAACCCTGTTCATAGAAGCTGCAATTAAACTGATTTTATCTTGACATATCCAAACTTCAGAGTAATTATTACATCTAAGCTAGTAATGTTATATGTGCTTGATATAAAATGGCAAGAAGTGATTACTAAATTACCTATGCCCTTGCAGCAGTTGTCAAATGTTATGAGTTCAGCCTCTCTATACTCCTCAGGCCTAAAATGAAAAGGGTGAAGATAAACTAAAGAACAATGATCGATCTTAAAAATCGTAAAACAAGACAAATCTGTGAAGAAGGCATTCCAGATAAGGGATTAGGTTCCTGAAAAATTGCCATCGGTTAATATCCATCTTTCATACAAATTAAATAAGTATAAAATATAAAGTATAAAATTCCTTAAAACCTTTTTAATGTATACCTTAAGAATTCAGTCATATTTCTTACAATAAAAATATTGTTATGAACAGAAATCTTACTCATTGTCTTCCGAGGGATGAGCCTGATGCTCAACTTCAGTTAAAACCACTGTGGAAGACATTGAATTTTCTAGCTCATCCTCTGAAAAATATTCACAAAATAAAAATCATTTTCCACATTCATTTTAATCCTACGACTTAGTACCATAAGAGTAACACAGCAAAAAATTTCAACAATATTTGTGGCTATACCACTGGCACCACAAGCGAAAAAGATTGTATACTCGGGTTTGGCTTCTAGGGGCCCAATAACTTGCAATGAGTCAAGGTAAAGGTCAAAGTAAAGATCCGTTATATAGTAAAAGTGCTTCTATTGGACTAGGGCTGCCTGCAGAACTGTAGATCTCTAGTCGAGAAAATTCAGAAAAACATGCCAGAGAGATATATACCCAAGCATGGTTAAAACCCTCTAATTTACAGCGATACCTATATGATTTTTGGTATTAAAGCAGGCAAAGGGAATGGTGCAAAGCGCTGCTCATCACTGCGAGCTCTAACGACAATGCCTGGGTAAAAAGAAAATTCGGACAACTGCACATTCAATGAATTCACATTTTTTCTGCAGTGACTCTAGCCAAACAATCAATGCTTTCCTATGAGACGTGTTGCACTAAAGTATGATGGTCTGACACACCAAGGTCTGACGATGCGGAGAAATAATCAACGTTTATGACATCACAATAATCCGACGTCAAACACTGACGCCGTTGTCCTGCATTCAAAAGCCATCATTTCTGAATTTGTCATCGTATATAGTTGTATTGATTTTGCTTATTGCTTCATCTTTTAAAGTAGTCCTTGTGCACCATTCAACTGATTAGGGTTAGCCCTTGCTTTGCACAAACCCGAGAGATTTAGGGTTAGTCCTTGCACAATAGTAGAGTGATTGGGGTTAGTCTAGCACCCACCTATGATATCTAGGTTATAGTTGTTTCACACTTTTTGAACAATTATAGTTTCGCACCTATCATTCAAAGAGATTAAGGTTAGTATTTTGCATAATGATATTTTTTCATACTTATTAGTGCTCCAAGTTGCACGTACTTTTAGGTTGCTAAATGGCAACCTAAAAATTTTTTGGTCGCCATTTCAGAATTTCTGGTTGCCATAAACAAATATTTCAATCGCCATGACGAAAACATGTGAAAAAACAATAAAACAAGGAACCATCACCCATACAAATGTATATGTTTTATATCTTTATTAAATCAACTGAAAGATAACTATTTACTGTGACTAGAAATCCTTTGCTAGATGAAGGAAATATTTTTATTAGATACAACCACCCCTATGGTTGTACATTACACAGAATAACACAAGAAATCTGATTCTACAATGAAAATAAACTTTGACAGTTGTTAAGACAGGACTTTTCCAGTTGTTTGTCATGTTTTCTTACTACTATGTATCTTACCCATAACACAGTCGTTACCAATGCCGCCAAAACACTTAATTAATTGTGTCTGTGATATGCAAGCCATTGACCAAATGCTTCAATAACAAGGTCAGAGAAACTCTAGAATGTTTACAACATTTGGATGCATTATTTCAGGGACGTTATGCTTATACGTCTCTGGTTCTATCAAACTTCACTATTACAGCATCCTGCTGTCATAACATTACGTTCTCTAAGTCCACGCTTTGTAAAGCGTGTTAAATTATTTATATTCAAACGTTGTCTTGATAGAAAATCTTGATAACGTAAATCTCAATCCTGATCATAAAATGATGGAACGTTGCCAGTGCAAATTTTCTCAAAAAATGCGATTTAGTTTTAATTTAAAGTCGCAAAACCAATTTTTGGTTGCAAATGCGACTATTTTAGTCGCAACTTGGAGCACTGCTTATTTTAGACCTTGGCATGCTGCGGCATTGCAGTTTGGTGCAGTAGCACTATGACATCATAAACGTTAATTGTTTTCCGCACCATCGCACTTTGGCATGTCATGGCATCGGGGTTAAGCGCAAAGACCGTCGGACTTTGGTGTGATCATCAGACTATAAAGTCCCATCGCAATTTGGAGTCCTACATATATTTGACTCATAAAGTTCATATTTAGTTTACATTTTAAAGGTCTCCCAACATGAACAGTCTAGACGAACTCCAAAAACGGCGTGAACTCCAAAAAAGAAGTCTTTGGCTCCGTCATGCATTGCGGCAAAATGGCTTCCGATGTAAACAAACGATGGATTGTCGTTCGCTTTCTCCACAAATACGACCGAATAATGGCTGTATTTAGTAAACTGTGACTGGATTTTAATTTTTGTTGAATAAATAATTGCACTTATTAAATTATTTAGTGGTTATTGACTTATTTATCGCTCTGTATTCTTGCATAATAGTGATTTGGGATATAGGACCTCGGATTCAATAAAGTCGGTAAGAATTAATTTCCTAACTTAATTTATTGTCCCTTTGATTTAAATCTTATGCCATTCCTACTATAAAGATGCTTAAATTTTACTTCTAAGACACTTAGATCGTATTTATTTTATGAAAAACCGCACAATTTTCGCGGCGGAGCAGAGATATTATCAGGTTCGTTTTGAGAAGACTTTTTTACCGTAATTTTAAAAGAATGGTTTTTTAAAGTTCTTAAACTGATAGATTATAATTCTAAAAATGTTTTCAGGATTATATCTGTTCATATGTGATAACATTAGGTAAATAGCGATGGTGATAATTCAGATGTCATACGGGATTATATGACGAAATAATATTACAAATGGGTATAACATTCAGTCAATGATTAACAGTTACATCATATATATTATATTGTTCAATTTAATATATTTTCCCTTTTATCATTAAATTCCCAAACGTTTATTTTTCTTTGTAATTGATCTAACTTGAAAAGTGAACTTTTTTTCAAAAAAGCAACCGAACGGAGGAAATGTGGAAACTGAATGGATTATCATGTAACTGTTACCTGATCGACTCTTATTTATGATTAAAACCATCAATTCATTACTTTTTTAATTATTGGTAAGATGTATTTACAATGCAGTTGCTCATTGCTGCTCTAAACATGCTGAAATTCATTCGTACACGAGAGACATGAAACACAGAGGAAATTCGAACAACTGAAAATTCGTCAGCGTCCCTTACTTACAAAAAACTTCTAAAATCAGTAAAAGTAGTTCTAAAATGACTAACTTAGTCACTGCAATCAAATTATCAACCACAGAGATGTTTTCATAAGATTAAGATTGTTTAATTTGTATTTTGTATACTACTTGTACGAGGTCTGGCTGAACCTCGAAGTTGGTCAACTTTGACTTGAAATTAAAAACTTTTTGCACATGAAATCAAAATTCTAACAAATACGTTCTATAAAACCATTTATTATTAATCATTTCTGAGAACTTACATCATTGTAAGGTAATCCAATTTTTTGCAAAAGCACTTTTTGTAAGAGCCCACTTTTCACGACTTTTCACTGTGTTTTGGTATAACTGCGCATGCGCGGGACTCGTTTTTTGGAGTCTTTTCTGGACTGAAATTCTCACTTCCGTTAACGCCGTTTTTGGAGTTCGTCTAGACTGATGAATGCTCATGGAATGTTATGTGAATTTTTTTATTCAGATTGCAGACCATACAGGATTGTTACAGATTGTTAAAAGGTAATAAATAATCAAAATTTGGAGTAACTTATATGGGTTATTAATCAATAATATGCTTTTAGTGAGTGGGATGTATTTATTAATACAAGAAAAGAAGCCAAACTGCTAAACAGTTATCCTAGTGTACCCATAAATCGTCCCCTTACGACATTTGACGTCATAGTAACAACGAGCGCGTGCAAATTGATAAACAAACTTCAGTGCTAGTTATAGAATGGAATTGCTGTTTAAATGATGAAAATTATTTTTTCTTACCACTCCTCACAAGATTTTTAGAACTCTTCTACAAAATCAAACTTTTACACTTAAAAATATTACCCATACCCTATTTTCGTCCTTCAGATAAAAACGGCCGCAGATGATTGGTCTATATGTTTTCCCGTGATTTGTGATTAAAAAATGGTTGGAAAATCATTAAAATAAAAATTGTAAAAAAGTTCTTCTAAGCAAAAAATTTATTCAATTTTTTTTAATCAATTTAAGAAAATTAAACTGCCTTCGCTATTACCGACTCCGTTTTCTTCAACGAAATTAAAAAGAAACACGAACGTGCTTTCAGATTAACATTGTCAACGATGTCATGTATGCTCATCAAATTACCTGATATGCGAATTATACAATGTTTTATTTTAGATTTTCCAAAATTCAATGACCATACTGGCAAAAACCTATAGAAAATCAAAATATTTGAACAGTACAAGTCTGGCACAATCTGAAAAAAAAATAATAGGAAAACTATAATTTAATGCGTAGACTTGAATTGATCACCTAATTATTATAATAATGTGTGAAATATTCATGTTACAGGGAAAAAAAACTTTTCATCCACTAGCTCTGCAGTAGATGAGAAATAAAAGAGTTCACAGAAAAGATCTTGTTTTACTTGATTATATATCGTGAAGTTCGACCCAGTAGACGCCCGCTGGATTAGTTATATGCTTCAATGCACGTAGCACCTGTCATACTGGTAAAAATTGTGACAAAAATACACCTTCTTTGGTCGCTCAACTAAACAACTGTTTGGACTGTTCAATAAAATAAATTCTTGGTTTGTAGAAATAAAATATTTTCTTCTTGATTACTTGACCACTTACCAACTTTTTTGCAAGAAGGGGGGGGGGGGGGATGAGGACTGGCGACAGGGCAAGGTCAAAAGTAGATCTATTCAAACAATGTGATCATCAATGTTTGGTCATGTTGATAAATTGATTTTTTTAAATGGGGTGGTATAATAAATTTTTATGTATGGGAAATGTTTTTGATATAATGTATTTGGTTTTATTTATTTGCCGTATCAATAAAAAAATTCCTGTATAGAAAAAATCTAGATTACATAAAACTTGATAAAAAACAAAACACACAAGAAAAGGGAAAATCAGCAACACAGTATAAATTGTTTTAATTTGTAGTACCAACAGAATTTCTATTGTTGGAAGCATTCACAGCTGTTAGTCAAAGTGACTGTTAAAATCTTTGATTTTTGAAGACTTTATCATTTGCAGTGATGACAGATTTTTTTTCCCTGAAATAATTACGGATACCCGCATGGACGCGTAGTACGTCAACCAAACACAGGTAACGTCAAAATCGTAGGTGGACAGTGTATAGGATCCTTATGATTTTTGAGCGTTGATTTCTTTTTATCAAATTCTTAAATTAAAAGCCCATGCACGTAATTCGATACAATGACAGGAATAAAATAATAAAATGAAGGAATATTTGATCTGGAAGTAATTTTGTGGAACGTAACTGCCGTGTACACTTTCAATAAAAAATGGACCTAAGGAAAAATCAGATATTTTAAGTATTTTTATTTTATTTAGATTTAATACTAGTTTAAACTGCAAATTCTGAAAAATAATTGCTGAAAAAGTTGCATCATTATGTTCACTAGTCATAACAACTAAAAATGACGTCATCGATACCAAGTTCGAAACGTGCTGGTCTCGAGAAGTTTGGGGACGAATTTAGGGTACGGACGAATTTAGGGTACACGACGATACAATATGCTGAGAATATGGACAAACTGCATATCAACACAAGCAAAATCTTATTCTACAGAGACTTTAGCTTTGCATTATAATGTTCTAATCAATAAACTACAGATACCTCATTTAAAAAGTCGTACACATGCAGAAAAGTTTTGTTTGTTCAAGTTGTTGATGTTTTCCTTTTTTTCCAACATGAAACCGGAAACGGAACCACTTTTTCACGCATGCACTTGAATCGCGAAGAAAAAAAATCATTACCCAAAATCCCTTGCCGTACTTAACTTTTTTCTTCGCCGCCATAGAAGCGAAATTTTACTATTTAGGCCTTTATTTTGTAAAACATTTACTTTAGATGCATTCAATAACAGTATGCGTCTTGATTAAGCGTTATCATGAATGACTAATTGTTTACTTACCCACCTGATTTAACGGAAGTGATGATGATGGGACCGGGTAATCAAAATTAATGTTTACTTGGTTTCTTAATTTTTTTGTCTTGTATTTCGATAATTTACAGACTGGAAGATATGGGAACTCGAGGAATACCTCTGGATAAGGTAAACATTTTGGTTATACACGTTTTTAATCAATATTGTTTTGACAATCTAAATATCCAAATCAGCTGATCAGTAGCCATGCAGGTAGGAGACTTGTAAACAAAGCATTTACCATTAGGCACTACTAATATTTGGTGTACATACTACATTATCTGAAGTCATGATGAACTCTTTATCTGAATATGATGAAGTCTCCATGGTTGTGTACTACCGTACACAGTTTGTGTATTTGGCATATTGTTATGAGATGTTTGACGTATTTTAATGTCACTTTGCGTAAGAGAAAAGTATTGCATTCTTTTTCCTAATAGATACCTGTGGATTCACTGTCATTGGTTTTTGATGGAAATAAGTCGACTCAGTGTCATAATCTGTATTCGACATTCCATTTTGCATTGTAGTATGTCAGCAACAAGAAGAAATTTTTGCAGTCTCTCTTCTTCTGAATGGCTAAATAATGAAAGAGGTTAAATCAGCGTTTCAATGAAACTGACTTGGACTGATTAGCCCATATATTTTGACATGTCCATCAAATTTCTGAGATTGCATGACTTGTACAAGGAGAGACTGACCAAAAAAGATTATAACAGCTTTTCCCATTTCTGACGTACATGGTTAGCAGCAGAGACATAAAAAATGGATATAAAATATGTGATAAGATACTGAAGAGTATTTAAATGAAATGGTCTAGCTAATCATTCATCTGAAGAAGTTCTGGCTTTACAGACTGTGGATATCAGCCTGGATAGCTCAGTGGTTAGAGCACCTGACTAGTAATGTAGGGGTCCCGGGTTTGATTCCCGGTCCAGCCATATGTTTTCTTCGTGCATTTCTCCTTTCCTACTACACATCATTTCTCACACAGTTTAAATGATTTGAAGGGAGAGGTTATTCTGCCAACTATGTATTGTCAGTAAATTTTTGAATTTGTAAATCCCCCCTGTAATTTAACTTGCTCTGAAGCAATTGACCTGCCTTTTTAATTATACTATGAAAACACCCCCTCACACATTAGGTACTATTTGTCAGCCAATGCAGTGCAACTGATTAGTGATTGCTGATTAAGATTACTTAATTAGATGTGTAATATTTGTCAGGACTTGACCACCAAAGAAACTGTCGTAAATAAACTACTGTAGGAAGTGTTCATCAATTTGGTATATAACTCCTGTGTCAGATTGCTGAGGCTATGGGAATAAAAGAAATTTATTTCAAATGTATGAATCATTTAAAGCTTTTACAATTCTTTTTTTTTTTAAAATCTTAAACAAAATTTATAATTGTGAAATTCACATATAGGGACAGAGCATAAAGTTAATGAATAACTCAGAGGCATAGCTTTCTTTTCATCATGCACTCCTATATGAAGTAATTATGAATTCTGCATTGACACCCTTAGTATTTAGGGTCCTGATTGCAGATATAAGTTATCGTATAGTCAAACTTTGGTATCTCAGACATGAGCATCTCAAAGACAATGGGTGTATTGAACTGATTTTGAAGTCCCAATTGTTAGTTTCCAAACAGTTAATTACTGGAGTATTTAAATTTATCCTGCAACTGCCCCTTGCATTGACCTAATAAAGGTTAACCTAATAAACCAAAGCTTTATCCGGTCACTGCCCTAATAAAGCCTCGTGCATGTATTCGGACGTTTTAAAAGCATTGTGACGTCACATATATTGCAGTGTTTATTCCATGGCGTCATAGTTTCAACTGCAGAGTTGTGCCTAATTCTGTCGGAAATAGCTTGTTTTGGACGTTCAAATGTAAAATTTTGTTGCAGGATAAACAAAATACATGATAACTGTCTTGAAATATAAGCGATATTTGGGCTCGGCAAGCCTCGCCCTCTATCACGTTTTCTTACCCTCGCCCAAATATCGCTTATATTTCAAGACAGTAACCATGTATTTTATATGAGTTTCTCATTGGATCTACAGATCTCTTAAAATCATTGCGTTTTCACCTCAGAATTACAGTGAGTGACAAAAAGCTTTATAAAGCTCAATAATGCCATTCCTGACGCAAAGCCCATTCTAGTTATTTTACCATTTTGAATTGCGACTCCCTTTCTCCAGTCTCCAATGAATGTACCTATAAATTATCAATTCAGTTAAATGCACCAGTGGCTCTGAAATTAACTTCAATGTTTTTAACTGTTTAGGATACAGTGCTAGCTTATCTTACCTATATAGCTTATCACAGTATCATTTTATATTTGTGTGTTGGAATGAATATAAAATAAAGACAGGTGCTAACCCAAGATTTTACCTTAGAGGGGTCACTATTAAATGGTTAGTGTTCTGGGTACCACCAAGGTCCCTAGTGGATCAAGGATAGGGTCTAATATGTGGAAAGGAAGGGATCAAGGGGCAAAGATCCCTTAAACTTCTGAAAATCAGCAAATAGTGGACCATTTTTTTTTTTTTTTTTTGTGAAATTTACACTTACCGTATTACATGGATGACAGTGAAAACTTTATCTGAAACTTTAGAAGAAGGCACACTGCCCTGAAACCATCTAGGTAGATGCATAGATGGAAAAATGGGATAATAATATGGATAGATTTGTACATTTGAAATCACTCCAAACAACTAGTGAATAAGTAATTTAGCTAGTGACAGGACCTTGAATATATTACAGTAATAACATTTATTATTACTGCATGTACTATATATATTTAAACATTTTAAATTGTAGAGCAACTTAAAATAGGCTCTTTGATGCAATCATTTTAGTGTAGCTTAAATTTACTTCCCCACTGAGAATCCTACAGTGATTTGAGCAGATCTGATTCCCACTTGAGGACTCTTGTCTTTTTGTTGATTAAAAGTGAGGTTTCTTTAGCGAGATTTACTGAAGTTTAAGAGAGTTTGAAACCCCTGCAGATTAATAAGGTTATTTTGTTGATTATATGTGTGGTAATTTTGCACAGGTTATTAATGTGAAGAAAGGGAGAATCCTTTAAAAATTATCACTCATTTACCCATGTGTTTAAAATTTAATGTTCAACTGTGGTGTTAAATTTTTAAATTGATGCATTTTTCAATGGATTTTCTCAGAGGGCATTTGTAAACAAATAAAGTATCGTCATTATCTGAGGATGGATTTGTAGAGTGATGATGTAAAATTCCATGGCAACAGACAGTTGATGCTGGAGATAGATTGTCACTAGGTAGTATTTAACTCCGTATAGTTTATATAGCTGTGAGGCTTTAATTTCATCATTCTTCTCTTATTACAACCACTCATGCTACTCACTAAAACAGATGTGTTCATGTTAAACCTACATTATTTTTTGTAATGAAGAGATGAACAGGACTGCTATAGTAAATATTGATTTTGTTCAGTCTTTTTGTGTAAGACCAATCATCAGATATACAGTATTGTCAGTTATTTTTGTGCATTGAAATTATATTATTTATGTTCTTAAACAAGTTAGACATGGAATGGTGTGCTACACTGCCTGTCCCATTATGTGAGGTGCCAATTCCAGTGAAATATGTTTTATGTGTATAAAGGGTGCATGATTGCGGAGGAAGTAAAACAAAGAGATACATAGTATATATTTTTTAATTTTTTTTTCTGATCCAAAGGCTTAGTAAGCTTTTCTAATCAAAATTATAGGATGACAAGTTAATAATTTTTTCTGTAGTTAAAAGGTAATATTTATGATATGATCTACATCTCAAAAACAAATGAGGTGTCATTAATCTCAGAGGGAAATCTTTTTTGTGTTTGTCTTCTAGATCAAATATATATCTCTCAAAATATTTACTTTCTGTAGATGGTTGTATCAGGAGATGAAAATATAGATTAAGGACAGCGCATTTGATTGGGGGAAAAAATAAATATATCATGGGAGAGCTAAAACAGTGACATATGTATATCATATTTATTTGTTCCATGCACTCAAAGGGGAAAAAAGTAAATATTACCGGTAATAATTTGTGAAGAAAGCATGCTGTTATATTGCAAATGATTCAATACATATCTTGTGTCAAAGACACCATTAAACATGTACTAAGGACAAGTAATTGTATCAGATATATGGCCCCCAACTTGAGGGACCTACTAAAACATCTACATATCTTGAAGCAATGTTTTTATTGTTTTACTGCTTGTGTCAGGTCAGGACACTAGTCCAAGTTTAACACTCAAATTTTCAATTGTTATAAGAAAGTAGAATGATGATAAAGGATGTTTGATCTACAGCACACTAGCTTAATTATGGAACTTGTTTTCTGTCTGAGATAACACCAAAGATTTCAAATATTTGTTTTTTTAAACTTCGAAGGAATGTTTAAGCAATAGGTTCCTTGAGGATAAAATTAGTAGATTTATCATATAGACATAAACTAGAGTTAAAATCTCACAAGACTTCTGACTAACAAAAATTATAGAGACTAAATTGTCAAATTTGAAATAGGATGCACTGGCTATATATTTCTAATATTTTTTCACTCTTTTGTAGATCAATTTACGTTTGATTTTGGTGAGTGGAAAAACAAAGGAGTACCTGTTCTCCCCTAACGACTCCGCGGGAGATATAACAGAGTCCGTATATAGGAACTGGCCTTCAGGTAACAGCCGTCGTCAAGTGGAATATATTAATTGTATGGATTAAATTTTGTCAGATAAGCTTTAGTGCAGCGAATAATTAGAGAGAAAAGGATGCTTGTGTCTTTCCTTCACAGGGGGAAATTTTATTTTTGTCATGTTTGTCTTTGTCCAGGAAATAACGAGAGACCACTGTGGTTTTCATTAATTTTCAAGGGTTTTAATGGGAATCCTTTTTTTTTGACAAAATGCAAATTTACCAATAAATTATGATGTTATTGATATGTAAATCAATGTACACTTACCTTGTTCTGTCATTAGTAAAACTTTTTTTTGCCCCCCGTAATCGAAGATTCAGGTGTACATAGTTTTTGTTGTGTCGGTCCGTCTGTCTAGCTGTTTGTCTGCAAAAACTTTAACCTAGCTTGCCCATATCTTTTGATATAGTGGAACTATGACTTTCATATTTCACATATGTATTCCTTGTGATAAGACCTTTCTTTTGGTACCACCAAATTGACCTTTTGACCTTGACCTCAGAGTTTGACACACTTTTACACAAAAATTCCAAACTTTTTCTTTGGCCCTAACTTTTGAACCATAGATACTAGGAATTTCATACTTCACATATTTGTTCTTTATGACAAGACCTTTCATTGGATACCAACAACTTTGACCTTTTGACCTTGACCTAATGTATAAAAACAAACATTGACCATAACTTTTAAAGGGTTAGGGCTATGGCTTTCATACTTCACATTTTTTATCCTTGTGACAAAACCTTTCGTTGGATACCAACAACTTTGACCCTTTGAACTTGACTTTGGAGTTTGACCCACTTTTAAAAAATTTAACCTTGGCCATAACTTTTGAACAGATGGCAATAGGGCTTTCATATTTCATAATTGTATTACTTGTGAGAAGACCTTACTCTGGGTACCAACATATTTAATTTGCATTTGAGAAAAGTTTCATCTTTGCTATGTTGCCATATAGGGGCATCAGTGGTTCACAATCACATCTTGTTCACCAATATTCTAATTTCATGGCTGGCTCAAGTTCAAAATTGATCTTTAATGAAATATAATGAACTCAGACAGTTCCCATTATTTTTATTTCACTCACTGAGCCATAGGCTTCCATGTCATAAGTTGTTCGACAACAGTAAGCTTCTCAAATTTTCGAAATCTACTTGGACCAACCAAGTTACAACTAAACTCGTTGCAAAGCATCTTTGTGTTAAGAAATTTAGGATTGTTAAATGAAAGGGCCACACCCTCTGTCAAGGGTAAATGATTACAATTAATGAAAATTAATGGGAATGTTTTAAAGGGCCTCTTGTTTTAGTGTGTGAGGTTTATTGAGAAATTCTGGAAATGCTGTTATTCTCATTAATGGTTTTCCAGAGAGGAGATAAAAGTTGTTAAAAAGAGCTATAAACATGAAATGAAAAAATTGGACTCTAGGGGAAAGAAAATTATTCTTTTAATGATGATTAATTGAAGTACATGTAGAAGATTGCTGCTGGGTTGGACATCAGAAGTAAGATTTGTATTTTCGAGGGGCTGAAGGTAAGGTATCGGATGAGACTTTCATAGCATGGGTTACTAGGATGTGCAAGTTTTCACATTAAATAACAGATATAATGAAGGAAGAATGATGGATTATTTCATTAAGTAAGTAGTGACAACATGATTAAGCATTTTCAGAATTAAAGTAGAAGCTTATTAATTCATTCTCTGCAATCCTTAGGGGGCAAATAATGTCAGCACACCAATACAATAGGGTTTAGGAGAGGCAATATTGAACAAGGTTGGGAGATGTAATATAATCAGTCCCTTTTGCTTCAGCATTTATAAATGCGATGTATTGATCACTTGGATTTTGCTGCAATAGTGCTTATCTATGGGTCAAACACCAAGGTCTGTCAAGTGATTTGGAAAGCATTGTTGGATGTCAGCCCTATCTTGTAACACAATAAGCGTGTAGCCATTGACTGATAGACGTAGAAAGGAACATGATAGCTGGGGTTGTCTTCCACAGTGTAATTGTGAACAGGGATTTGGAAATAGAGAGAGAGAATAGAATTTCGTGTGACAGTTATCAGAATGGGTATTTTGTATTGTATCGTGGAGATAGGAGGTGATTAATTAATAGCACACTTTGATATAACTAATTATTGCAACATCATTGTATGACAACAAAACCAAGGAAAGAAAGTTCAAAAGAGTTTTTCACACTATAATTTGAAAATGAATATATGAACTTTTTACTACAACCGGTTAGCAGTGTGAAAAATCGAGCAGAGTTATAGACAGACACATGTGAAAAAGTTTGTTTTAGTCTTTAATCAGTTTTTCAGAATAATTGTTATTCAGAGCTTTAGGAAGTTTTTGCTTTAGGTTGGGCTTTATATTTATCAGTAATCCAGTGTCATTGACCTTCCGAGTAGAACCTGATGTTGTAGAACAATGACACTGGTAAAGATAGGGAAAGTCGCATATCTAGTGCTTCTACCCGGTATCTCCTTAGTCAAGCATTTTCATTTCAATTTTTATTTTATTGCAATCAAGATAATTTACTCTTATAAATGTTATATATCAAAGTGTGAAAGGAAAGTCAAATTTCCACTTATATATAAATAAGAATCAATTAATTGAATGGTTCACAGTCTTGATTGTTATACCCCCCGCAAACGAAGTTTGGGGGGGTATATAGGAATCACCTTGTCCGTCTAGCTGTCCGTCCGTCCATCCGTCTGTCTGTGCAATCGTGTCAGGTCCATATCTTTCTTACAGAGGGACATTAGAATCTACTACTCCACACAAAGATTGCCCATGACCTAAGGGTGTGTCATGACCTTGACCCAAGGTCATTTGGGGAACTTCAAGGTCAGTGGAAGAAAAATTTCATAATTTGTGTCCGGTCCATATCTTTCTTAAAGATAAACTTGGTAGGTTCTCATTTCACACAAAGATTGCCCATGACCCAAGGGTGTGTCATGACCTTGACCCAAGGTCATTTGGAGAAGTTCAAGGTCACTGGAAGAAAAATTTCATAATCCGTGTCAGGTCCATATCTTTCTTATGGATAAACTTGGTAGGTTCTCATTTCACACAAAGATTGCCTATGACCTAAGAGTGTGTCATGACCTTGACCCAAGGTCATTTGGAGAAGTTCAAGGTCACTGGAAATAAAATTCATAATTTATGTCCAGTCCATATCTTTCTTATGGATAAACTTGGTAAGGTTTTCATTTCACACAAAGATTGCCCATGACCCAAGGGTGTGTCGTGAGCTTGACCCAAGGTCATTTGGAGAAGTTCAAGGTCACTGGAAAAAAAGATTTCATAATTCGTGTCTAGTCCATATCTTTCTTATGGATAAACTTGGTAGGTTCTCATTTCACACAAAGATTGCCCATGACCCAAGGGTGTGTCTTGACCTTGACCCAAGGTCATTTGGGGAAGTTCAAGGTCACTGGAAGAAAAATTTCATAATTCAGGTTTGATACATATCTTTATTAAGGAAAAACTTACTTCTGAAAAACCCAGCGGGGGGTATTTTGTCCCGTTTGGACAGTTCTGGTTATTCTTTACTCCCTTGAACTCATGTACATGACATTCATTTATAAAATACTTTTTCTAATACTTAAAATAAGAAGGTCTACATTAAAGAACAAAGTATCCTGATTAGATTGTTATCTGTTGAAATTTGTTCTTTTTTGAGTGTACTCTGAGATGTTTCCTTTGTAGAATGGGCTGACGAGAGTTTACCTGGCAGTAATATTCTACGACTTATTTATCAAGGAAGGTTCCTACATGGAAATGTAACACTAGGAGGTAACACATTTTTCTCAATTCTATTTGTATATTTTTTATTTTACCTATATGAATAGAATGTTTTAATGAAAAGTTTTAATGGTCTTTTAAAAACTTTTCTTCAACACATTGTATTATTAAAGGCAAAATAAAAAGAACCATAGCCAAATTACCATATAGCGGGTTTCTTTCATATTTTGCTTACTCAAAGGTATACCAATAATTATGTGAAACGCTAAAAAAAGCCAATGTTAGCATCCTGCTAAAAATACCCTCTATACGGTATATGAGAAAGTTTTGTTGGAGTCTTTTTAGACAATTTGAAATGTCCACAATATATGAATTTTAGTTAACATTTTTAAACAAAAAATTGTGAGGATTTAAGTACATGTAAATGTATTATAAAACCAAAATACTACACATATATAAAAAGTGTATGTAAATGCATTGCAGATAATTTTTCTTTAAGAGCAAAAAAGTTTCAGAAATGTAAACCAAGTTCATTAAGTTTTCATAACTGTGACCTACATAGGCGCATTATGCGATGCATAAAATATTTTTAAAGGCCAATGATCTTTATGATTACAATATTCATTATCAGATATAATTCGAACATGAAAAGAGAGACTGAATATTATTTGGCTGCTTGTTAGGGCGAGTGACTTTGACATTACTGGTAATAAGCTGTAATAATAAGGTCAATTGTCAGTGGGTGGAGAGAAGCAAATTTTATATAAAATTTTAATGCTTTAGTTAATAATCCTAGGAGGTCGCTTTTATGCAAAAGTAACAAGACCAGATGAAGCCTAATACAGCTATTGATTTCATCCTGGTGTGTATTCAGTGGGTATATTGATTGGATAGCTACAGTAGGGTAATACATGCATCAAGCCAGAATAGTTGTAATCGCAAAGTAAAATCAGATGTCAGGATTCACCCTGGGGGCACCTAACAGGCAAAGACACCAGAACTTCTTATAAGTTCCAATAAAAAGCAGCATCAGCTGAAGCAATCGAATGACAGTCTCTCATTCTGGGCCAGAGCTGGCTATATTTTTATGGTGGTCCCACTGGGAGAAAGTGGTTAGTGGTAGTGCTAAAAAGATCAGAGATCTTAATTTGGTTTGTAGGAGATTCCTCACGTTATTAATCAAACACTTCCCTAGGAGTCTTACAGACTGAGTAGAATTGGAAAAAAAATGATTATATAATGGATAAAAATGCTTATAATAAAGAAAGTTAGATTCAGTACTTCAGTTGAAGTCATGAAGAGAAGCAGCTTAACTTGTATTTTACAAAATCTACGCTTAAACATTATACATTTAGTAGGACAAATCATGTGCAAGTGTAGCAACTACTACATTCTCTGTCATTAATTTTTTTGAAGAATTTTGTAAATTCTAACTATAAATGGTTGATATAATGTAAATATTAAATGAAGATTCTGATATATTTTTTCTTTGCAGTGATGCTGATTGACTAAATACATATACTAGATGATTAAGTAGGACACATTAAAATTTCTGTTGTTATCATTGCAGCTTTGCAACTACCACAAGGGAAGACAACTGTCATGCATTTGGTGCCCCGAGAAAACTTACCAGAGCCAAACAATCAAGGTATGTATACTGTATTCTCTGCTGAATGTGAGTACAAGTATGATAAGAGTACAAGTACTATTTAGATTCAAAGAGTCTCAAAGAAAACATTTTAACCCATGAGCCAAAGGTTTTAAAGAACTTTTCTGTCTGAAAGTTAGTCTGTTGTCTGTCAGTGGCACTGTTTTAACTTTTTCATGTTTTTCTTCCTTAGAACATTTTGCAAATTACAATCAAACTTGGCAAAATAGGGTTGGCTCCCAATTTTTTTCTGAAGAATCACTGGGCCATGGTATTTACACGAAAGATTTTTGACATAGTATAAATTGAAGTTTGTTCAGATCATGGATTAGGGTAGGTCAAGAACAGGTGATCAAAGTTTTAGAAGTTAATTTGTTGGGGAAAAAATCTTAATTTTTTCCTCAAGATTTCATGGTCATGTTAACATGCAGGCATGTTTCGATAGTTTCATATCTTGGCCAAAGTGGGATAGAATTATGCTATTTTAAAGAATGAAATGTTTACATTGGAATATACAATGAGAAAAAATTTTGAAATTTTTCTTCTCAAGAATAGTAATAAGCCATTATGCAAGCAACTTTAGGTTGTGCACCAAAGTTTTCCATGGAAATATAAAGGAAAAAAATCTTCCAAACCTTCTCAAGAGTGACAAATGGTTATACATGTATAATTATGCAAGCACTTTCAACTAGTGCAGATTTCAATTTCAGTTTCTTTTAGTGCTTCAACAAACAAGTAAATTTGTTCAAAATATGAAAAATTTATAATGAGAATACAGAATTTTTAAAAATCTTTAAACAAATCTTTTGAAATTCAAAAAGAACAAAATGACTCGATTAGCATTGTAGCACAGAGTTCACAAAATGATACCCCTATGTTCTCAGATGAAAATAATTGCCAAGTGTAACAGATGGATAGATGGAAAATGTTAACTGGTCAGACAATTGGTAAAGAATGAACACACTTATCACTATACACACACTTTCAAAGCTAGTAAGTTCATCAAATCAACACTGTTAAAAAATCTCTAAAATATCACATTGTTTATTATCAAACAAGGCTATCGTACCTTATTTAGAAATTTATGATGAAACAAGAAAATAAAGAGTGAGATAAGAGTAATTTATAATATGATTGTAAAAGTTATTGAGATTTGTTCTCTGAGGGTGAAATATGTGTAGCTTTGGATGTTAAAAGTCCTTGACTAGCTTATGTAATGCAATTGTAAGTGCACAAAATTTGTTGATGAAATGGAAATAAGTAGGTCTTATCTCACTTAAGTGCAGAAAGTATACTGAGACCTTGACATGTAAGTTATATGTCGAGGTCAGACTTGAGATTATAGGACTTGTACTTCAGAATATTTTTGCTGAACTATATGTAATTACACAAATAATACAAATGACAGCCCCATGAATCACAAAGTGACAGAAATGAATGCCATCATTTTTTTCTCCTTTATTTTCTAGGACAGTTAAAGAAAGACAAAAGTGGTGAGAGCAACTGTAGTAATTGCTGTGTTATAGTGTGACGTCTCATCTTCATTATCTTCTCTTCTTTTATCCGACACTGGGGAGTGCTGGGCAGGGATCGTGTTCCGTCAACACTGACCAGTCTGCCACGGACTCAACTACATATTGACTTTTAACTATAGCTAGTCTGTGATAACAATATATAGAGGGGACGTGATTGAAGGATTTTCAGGGAGCATCTACAGACACATCTCGGCATTGATTTACAAAGTCACAAAAAGGAACAAGAAGTAAAATGAAATAGGAATTCAATGTAAACAGCTAGAATTTCATAGAAAATCTTTCCAGTACCATTAATTCTGAATTGTTAGAAAGTTCAGATCATGCATAATATTACCATTTCTGGATTAATGTGCAAGTATAACCAAATAAGGATTGTTAAAAATAATCAAAACAGTCTTAATATAAAAATCAATATGATTATTTGTAAAGAAATAATGTACATAAAGAGCAAATTAGCCAGTACAAACCAAATTCTCTGAGCAGTTATTGTAAACTAATTTGTGAAATAGATATAATAATGTTATTTTCGGAACTAGATGCAATTTCATAATTATGAAAGAGCTAGTAATGGTGGCTTCACTACGTTAGACATAGGCAGTGATTTATAAGTCAATACAATGCTAGCTTCCTTGATGCGAGATGAGTTGGGCCCGGTTTTTGTCAGTTGTTCAGTGTTATTGGCAGAAGAACTCTTGAATGATTAAGTCCTTTTAGATCACATAACAAAAAAGGACACATTTTACAGCCAGAGGCTTTTCACTTCGTTCATTAACTCTGTTCTACGACTGACAGTCAGCGCCCTTCCTGCACCTCTTTTATTCAGTATATATCTTGTCTATATTATTGATTTTTGACGTTTTTCTAGAGAAGTATATTGTTTTTAAAAAAATTGCATTTTCAATCACCATGTGTGAAAATGTGTTTTTATATAGTGATGAATTAAGTTGTTTTTATTTGTTGATCTTAATTCAAGTGAAATTGCTGCCTAGGTGATTGAGAAACTTAAAAGATTGTAAGATTTTAATGTTCTGAAATGAACACAATTGATTTAAATAATGATGATTTTCTGCAACACCATTCCTTCATAATAATACAGCTACAGAACTTGTATGTATCTGCAATCATATCAGCCAAACTGGAGTAGCTTTGAATTAGATCAGAGAGAAATACTTCTGAAAGCCAGTGAAGTCTGGATAAAAACAACAACAAAAAAAGATATTTGGAACAAATTGTATGATAAAAATAAAGCAGTTGTTTTCAGGTACATTCGACAAAATTGCATAATTGATATGCAGAAGTGCATTTTAAATTGATAGATAGTTTTAAGGATAATTTTCGTTATTAATGGAAGGAAAGTGAAAGCATGAAAAATGAATAGGTGTATAATACTGTGTATTGTATCCAGTGATGTGTCAAAACCAGATATGTGATGCTTTATAGACAGACTAAATGACTTGTGCATTTCAAGACATAATTAATACTTCTAAATCATTCTCTTTTTTGCTTACTTATTCAACAGGAAATAGGGGTCTGCTTTTTATAATTAGCTCACCTCAACGAAGTTGGGGGAGCTTATGTAATACCCTCGGCGTCGGTGTCGGCGTTGGCGTCCCAGGTTAAGTTTTTTGGAGCAGTTTTCTTTTTAAGTACTTCTATGTCCTATATTGATTAGACATGCATGGAAGATGCTTCTAATGTGTTTCATTGTACCAGTCAAAGTTTCAGATGCTGCAATTTCAGCAAAGGAATGGCCAGGTTAATGTTTTTGGAGCAGGTTAACATTTTTGGTGCAGTTTTTGGTGCAGGTTTCATTTCCAAGTAACTATAAGCCCTATGTTGACCAAACTTGCATGGTTGATACATCTAAGGATGCATACTACTGGGCTTGCTTCGGATGCTGAATCTGACCTACATTTTCCGGATGAGTGAACAGGTTAAAGTTTTTGGTGCAGGTTTCATTTCCAAGTAACTATAAGCCCTATGTTGACCAAACTTGCATTGATGATACATCTAAGGATGCATACTATCAGGCTTGCTTCGGATGCTGAATCTGACCTACATTTTCCGGTTGAGTGAACAGGTAAAATTTTTTTGTGCAGGTTTCATTTCCAAGTAACTATAGCCCTATGTTGACACTTGCATGGATGATACATCTAAGGATGCATACTACCGGGCTTGCTTCGGATGCTGAATCTGACCTACATTTTCCGGTTGAGTGAACAGGTTAAAGTTTTTGGTGCAGGTTTCATTTCCAAGTAACTATAAGCCCTATGTTGACCAAACTTGCATGGATGATACATCTGAGGATGCATACTATCAGGCTTGCTTCAGATGCTGAATCTGACCTACATTTTCCGGTTGAGTGAACAGGTTAAATTTTTTTGGGCAGGTTTTATTTCCAAGTTACTATAAGCCCTATGTTGACCAAACTTGCATGGATGATACGTCTAAGGATGCATACTACCGGGCTTGCTTCGGATGCTGAATCTGACCTACATTTTCTGGTTGAGTGAACAAGTTAAAGTTTTTGGTGCAGGTTTCATTTCCAAGTAACTATAAGCCCTATGTTGACCAAACTTGCATGGATGATACATCTAAGGATGCATACTACCAGGCTTGCTTCGGATGCTGAATCTGACCTACATTTTGTGGATGAGTGAAAATGTTAGTTTGTGATGAATGTATCATTTCCAATTAACTATGAGCCCTATAATGAGCAAACTTGCATGGACGATACATCTTAGGATGCACACTAATGGACTTACTTTGGATGCTGAATTCGACATACATTTTTTCAGATAATAGACCAGGTAAAAGTTATGGGTGCAGGTCAATTACCAAAAAACTTGAAGGCTTATATAACATTGTATAAACCAAACCAAACTTGCACAAATGTTGCATCAGGAGATGTAAACTCTCAAATTTGTTTCAGATGCTTAATTTTAATTACATTTTCATGAACAACTAGTTTAAATTTTTTATGTAGGTCTATTTCAATGTATTCGATCAAAATTGCTTAAATATTTTCATTTCTGGAATGTACACTTTTTGTTGGTTAATTGTGTGACTTTGCCTTACTTAAAGACAACATTCGTTGAGGTGAGCTCTGTAATCTCTGATTACCTATGTTTTCTTTATATAATTCAGTCTCTGTAAATAGTTTATGATCTATTGAATAACTAAAGAATATTAGTAATTAATGCACAATTTTATAAATTTCTATCCACATTTTGCAGATTTTCATTTTACTTTTATTGTGTTATTTTGAGCTACAGGTTTTAGGAATGTAATGTCTCTTTCATATAGATGAGCCATTTAAATTGCATTGCACATTTAAAGCAAACTACTTGCAGATTCTTGTTGCACCAAAATACTTTATGATGCTTCTATGAAACTAAAATTCCTTCTGCAATATAAATGTAATAAAATTGATAAAGATCAATTGAGAAAATTAGAATGATTTTAAAAATGTTTTTATTTTATTAGTTATGAATAAGGAAATTTAAAGTATGATACAGCAGATGAATAAATTGAAATCAGGTATGGTCCAAGATACCAGTCAGACACAAATATGTGGTTTATATTTGGTTAAATTGATTGACACTCGCAGTATCTTTGCTCAGATTAGTTTTGGTTTGTGTTGTCTATATATTTTTATATTGACAGGAAAGCTATTGTATAATAAATAAAAAAATAATATAAAGTAAAGACCCACAAGCAGGAATAAAAACAACAAAAAATTTCTTGCATGCTGAAAATTTTAATGTCTTTGATGTTATTATTCAGTATTGTATGATAGGGGAATACATGTTTGAAAGGTGATGCTCTGCAAATTGACTTACCAAAGTTTCATGGTTAGCCTTACTTTAAGAAAGCCTTGGCAGCTTCACTCTATGCAGTTTACAGGGGAAAATTTTTTTTTTTGGATATATCGATCTAAATTTAAGATGACTATAGCTTTTTTAAATACAGTATCATTTAGAGGTGTGCTGATAACTGAAGGGTTTCCCTGAATTTTTATTTGCAATTTGAAATATCGAAATATGTTATGAAATGTAACGGGAAAGAAATATAAAGACTGTCTCATAAAGTTATAGTAAAGATAAAATAGGTACGCAAAAAGTTTAAAGTTATTGAAAACTGAATGTATTTGGACCAAAAGAACTTTTTTCTATAGAAATTTGCATTAGAAGATAACATCTGTATATACTGAATTGTCATCATGATCACAATCTTGAATCAGGTTTGTTGGAGTATGTCTCGTTTTTATTTTGAATATAATAACAGTACAGTGGATGTCTTTTTTTCTGTTTTTACAAGTGTATTCTTGTAACATTTTTTTATGTACTCTGATAAGCCTTTTGCAGTCTTGTTTCTATATGATAAATATTTTATCTCTGAGGGAATTTACTGATACACAAAAAAGTAATACTTTCTACCAGCTTTATTTCTGAATTGGTGATGTGGAGCATTTTGTTATGAATATTTATGAGTATTTGAAGAATGGTTTGTGACTGAACAAACAGCCTTAAAGAAAACACTAATTTTGAATGTCAAACACAATTACAAGAATAAAATTTTAGTTGCAACACAATCCACTGGTCTTTGTGTCCTTTACCATAAGTACACCACAAGTACAAATTAAAGTGTGGAAATAAAAGGGACACAGAAACCTGTGGCAGATGCAGAAAGATTTCCTGAATTTATTGTCTTTGATATTCAGCTTGTAAATTAGACATTGTAATAATTATCTAAGGAAGTCATCATTAAACAAGCCAACCTACAGATGACAAAGTTGGTGCTCAACTTAAATGTAGTGACTTGTTATATATCTGTAAATTTTGAATTGTATGTATATCTTGTTGATATGTTTTTTCTTGTGTAGTTTAATCCAATTCCCCAAAAAGACAATGCTGTGAAGTGCAATACATGTAAAGCGAAATTTTAATGTGAAAAAAAGCTGCCATGTATAAGAGTGTGGATTATTGTATGTAGTTGGAGGACTGCATCTTTTGAATTGTTAAGGAGACAGATTTTGTGATACTTAGTTGTTATTTACACTGATATATTGCTGTCATGTCATGGGCTGTCCTGGATAGTCCCTTTCTTGTCTGCTTTTAAAGGGCAGGTCATTCAATGATACATGTTGTGGATCTGTCACATCATAAAAAAAGTAATTAAAATTTTTAATGATGAAACTGTCTTTTTATTTTAAACACGCTTTAAGTAACTCTCTCAGTGCATGAAACTCTGAGTATCCTGGATTTAAGTTTTAAGAGGTCAAAAACCAGGAGACTCTAGCTGGACCAGAGAAGCATATATATATATTATACTGTAAACGTATTATATTTGGGTTTGTATTCTATTTAGCGCCTTTCGCGGAAAATATCATCCATTAAGTAAAGTACATAGCTAAATGTTTTGTTTTCATATATTCATACAAAGCATATTCAGAAAGCGCTAATTCAAAGCTACGCTAACTTGTTTAAAAACCAACTTCCGCCAAATATGGTACATGCCAAATAAAATACATTTACAGTATCTGACTCTTACATGATGAAACTATCTTAAAATTAAGACAGAATTTTTACTTAAATTTAAGATTTAGACTTAGCTTAGATTGCTTACTTAAGTGGTGAAGCCAGATTTACGGCATCTAACATTTTTTTTTCATGAAAAGTATGGTCGATGTTTGGAATAGGTCCATTCTATATTTATAATGGCTACTTGTGCTGTTTTACATTGACGTTGCATCTGGAATGGATGTTTGTATAATTGGCTACAGTGGTTCCAAAAACTGCTCACCTAGTACAACATATTTAATTTTCTGTATATCAGTGAGGGACCAGGTACTTTTAGTTGGTATTATGTAATATGTAGAAATGTCTTGCCTTGGATGCTGAATTAGGCCTAAATTTCTTGTAAAAGTGGCTATTGAAAATGTCTGGTCTGACACCAGTGCAGATAAATCTTGAATGCATAAAGTTAACTTATAGCTGTATTTTGCTAATGTTAAGGAAAGAAAAACGAGCATTCTGAGAGCATTGCACTAGCAATACAAGTCCCATACCGGAAAATATAATCTGGTTCCTGTTTAATAAAAATGGAAAGTCCCATAATTCCGTCAAAAATCATTGATCGTAACAAAATGCAAACTTGATCTATAGCTCATCAAGGTAAAGTCACATGTCAACATTCAGCTGAATATCTGCAAGGTCTTAGGAAAAAATTGAGAAAAACCCTTGAAAATTTAAAAAGTGAAAAAGTCTGGAAAACATCAGATATTTCAGACTAACTGACAGACAGATAGACAGACTTTATTATTTAAAATTTTCCTTTATTTATTGAATGCCTGACATCCCTTTTTCTTGCAAAATAGTAAATCATGGTAATGTGGTATCCAATAGTAGTAAAATTTGGTTGGTGAAAAAAGTTCCCATCCCCCCCCTTCTTAAAAGGATTTGCGATAATTTAACCTTTTATTATTATGTATATTTAAAAATTTTTTGTCAAGATTTTTTGCCCCCCCAAACGGAAAAGATTTTAAACAAACTATACTATTAAACCATCAACAAACTACCAACAAACTATATTTTTGTGGTTTGTTAAAGTAGTTTGATAGTATAGCATTTAATGAAACACAAACAAACCACTGTTTCTAAAAATAAGTAAAGTGGTTTGTTAGTCTTTCATTTCTGCTGATTGTGATTTCTTTAGACTTGGTATCTTGCAACAGTGTTTTCTTAGTATAGCATTTGAATCTTGCCATATGGGAAATTACTTTACAGACATGTTTAGGGTTGAATTATCTAGAATTGTAGAAGTTTCCAAGAACAGCTTAATCTTTACATCCGGTGTTAGCAATTTGCGCCAATTTTCAAACCACCAAGCAGGTCAGAAACAAAGGAACTGGTGAAGGGACATTCAAATTGTTAGTATCATTCTGTAAGTTCCCTGACTGGAAAAAGCAGCAATTAACATTATCAAAAGATGGATCTGGATACAGAAGAGGTATTTAATGCATGTTATGAAGTTCCTTTTTACCAAAAATAAGGCTGGACTAAAATAACCTTCTGTGAATGCATGTGGATGTGTATGTTTTTTATTAGCTTCTGGTTTTTATTTCTTTTCAGATTGACCTATAATTCCTATACTAGTTTAGATCAGTTATGCATTGGATTATGGGAAGGCTTGAAGAACATTTTTTTGGTGAAAAATACTATGAAGATGTGCACATGCAACATGAAAGAGAATATGTGAGATGTACATGGACGTTGACTTGAAATTGCATCTCCTAAACAAAACATGTTGGAATGTTGCACTTGCATTGGCTAAACTTGTCAATCCTGGAATTTAAAATACTCTGAAACAAGACTTGTTGAATATTTCAAAATGTGACTGTTTTAGGTGTTTTCAAAGACTTGTGAATTTGTAAAGGAAAATTCAAATTTAGTGTTTTGCTGATGGATTTGTTACCAGTGATTTGTTAGTAGTTTGTTAGAGTGGTTTGATAGTAGTTTGTTAGAGTGGTTTGATAGTAGTTTGTTAGAATGGTTTGATAGTAGTTTGTTAGAGTGGTTTGATAGTAGTTTGTTAGAGTGGTTTGATAGTAGTTTGTTAGAGTGGTTTGATAGTAGTTTGTTAGAGTATAGTTTGTTAGCTCATTTGCATGTGATTTGCTATACTATTAAACTACTTTCAAACCATAGTGGTTTGTTAGTAGTTTGTTATAGTAGTTTGTTTGCCCTTTTTTTCCGTATGGGCCCTTTTCCTATGTGACTGGTAAATTTAGATATATCTACAGGAAACCAGAGCCAAGTAAAGAAGTACACACCAGGAAAAAATATAAAAGATAATGTGTTTGCTAAATATGATAATCTTTCGATATTAAAAGAGTTCAAGTATAGGGTTAAGCAAATATTACCATTTTTAGTGTAAAATCACAAAAGAAAACCCTTCCTTTTATCACACTGAATAAACCATGATGTACTTCTGTAATTAAACATGCCAATTAGGGTAGATTAACAGAGAACTACATGATTGTATTAATTATCTTAGTGACATGTAACTACACACATTTTTGGATAAATGTTACAAGTTAACAACCTTGTAACCAGTTAGAAAACATGTCGTTGAACTTCTTGAACAAGGCAACGTCTCCCTCTAAAGGCAGAGAAGTTTCATTGTGTATCCTGTCAAATTGTTATATATAATTATTAAAGAAATGAACTCGCATATAGACTTAAGAAAGGGGTGCTGACAATCTTTGTTATGCCTGGTTTTGAATATGGTGCCATAGAGTATTTGTCCTTTCCTAAGGATCTTTCGGCCCCTCTGTCTTCATCCTAGCTTCCATCATGCTGTATAGTTTTTAAAGCTCAGTTTCAAAGAACTATTCAAATAATTTTTATCTCATTTTCAAGCTCAGTTTCAAAGAACTATTTAAATAATTTTTAATATCAAATCTCCTATACATACCGATACATTCTTATGAGAGCTATTCAGGGCAATTTAAGGATAATTTTAGCAAACCTCATTTGCTGATACATACTAAATAAAAACTATTCAATGTCATCAACATATTTTCCAGTGCCCTTGACTCCACTTTATTAAATTTATTAAATGATTTCCATATCTATAAGAAACAAGATATTTTAATCAAACGCGTACAACCACATCAATATCATTTAACTTTGACCTTTCTTTTGACCTTGACCCCATTTCTTCAATATAGTATTTATCTTCACCGTTTCAAAGAATTAAACTTCAGATTATTTTATTGAATCTTAAATACTTGTATATTGATCAGAATTATATAACTGCATCAGTATTTCTGTCCCTTGTTTTGTCAAAAGTGAGGAGACATTAAATCTCATTTATAGTCAGTCTGTCTGCCACAAAAACTTTAAACTTTGGTCATAACTTTGAATGGGAAGAGATAGAGCATGTATTTTATACATGTATACAGTAAAATTCATTTAGTAGGAACACAGAAAGAGGGAATTCACAGATATAGCTGCAAATTTTGTTGTATACTCAGCACTCAGAGCTATTGAGCAGGGAGGGATCTTTTTCCTTCCAGCACATATGTACGTTCTAATCACACGTCATTTAAAAGTAATCACCAAAGTTAAAATTAGGTCAAACATGAAAGTCAAGGTCAAAGGTGAAAAATCTTGCATTTTCATAAAACTTCTTGTTGCAAGTAATGCTTATGTCAAATATGAAAGCCCTATTTCTTCTCAATCAAAAGTTACAAGGAAAGATAACATTTTAAAATAGTAGGTCAAATCTAAAGGTCAAGGTCACAGGAAAAAAAAAATCATAGTATTATTTATAAACATCATACCGTAAAGGTGATATACAAATTTAGTATAATATGAAAGCATTATCTTTTCTCTTTCAAAAGTACAATTTAAAGTACATGTAATGTTTTTGGTTTTTTTGAAAAGCAGACCAAACTTGAAGGTCAAGGTCATGGGGTAAAAAATCATAGTATGTTTAGAAAATTTTTACCAAAGGTAATACAGTAAAACTCGATTATAAAGAAGTCACTGAGACCTGTGAAATTACTTCACTATATCCGTAATTCTTTATATCTGTATAAGAGATTCGTTAAACTTATGTAGTGGTGGCATCTCCATATGAGTGAAAAATCCTTGAGAGGGACATTAAACAATATACACTCAATCAATCATTAAACAGGCATCAAAGAGGTCTTTTTTTTTTTTACCTTGTCCTTTTCTTTGACCTCACTTTCTTAAATTAGTGATTATCTCAATTTCAAAGAATCATTTAAACAGGCATCAAAGAGCAATACTTTCATAAAAAGTTTTATTATTTATATAACATAAATAAATATTTTTGTGTCAAAACATTTTAAGGTGTATAGATGTGCTAACACATGTTATTCAATTTTTAGCACAGCTTGAATTTACAATGACTACCTCTAATTTCCTGGCCTTCCAGATATGTTATGCAAATCATTCCCACAAAATTATTGGTACGATTTAGTGTGAAACTTCTAGTCAGTTCCAAAAACTAAACAAAATACATGTGTACTTTATCACACATGATAACAGAACTAAAACTACAGTAGTTATTCTACGGAACACAGTATATCTAGATGACAGTTCATGTCTTTTCATCTACCATAATCTCAAACACTTGTAGCTTGATGTTTTCAATGAAATAAAAAAGATAAAAAAAAGTTTGTAAAACTTTCACGTAGTAACCAATAGAATGAGTTGAATATGTTGACTTTAATCTTTGTACCTGACATACAGTTGATATGTTATAGTTTGAGTCAACTTAATTTACCGGTATCTCACACTATTAGGTAAAACTGAATGGAGTTACCTGCCCCTAAAGTTGTATAACAATGTAAACATAGAATGTTCAATGATGTCATGATAAAGAAGGCATAAAAGTGAATGGAATGAAGTGCATTAGGTCTTAGATGATTTTGTGCTTTTACTTAAATTGCTGGATTCCCTGCTGAGTCTAATTCAAATGTTAGTTCCCATAATGTACTATTATGTACTACTGTACATTCAAGAGCAACAATAAGCCCATGATTGATATGCTTTTAGAGTAAAAGAAATTACTATGGTGAAACCATGAATTTGATTACTGAAACATCTGTCATAACCTACATGTATAAAGCATAAGAAAGGGTCACATTTCAATATATTATGCTGTTAAAAAAAGTTAAGTGCTTTGGCTGTACATGTACCATGTAACAAGTAATAAGCTATATCATTGTAAACTCATCAGAACACATTTTCATTCTTTAATTTGGAAATCAGATTTTAAAATTGTGGTAGTTTTTGACAGCTTGTGTAACAATTTTCTGTTAAATTTGTCTCTCATAGTTCCAAACTGCATAATATCCTCAGGCTCTTCTTTAAACCAAAACTGATCAAATTCCCAAAAGATGTGACCTGCAAGGAATGCAAAATGTATAGAAAACTCATTTATTATTCTAATGAATTAATTTTCTGCATTGAGTTTATTTCTTTTCGATACATGTATTATAATTATTCCATGCACTTCATTTCAGTTGCTCTCATAAAAGATGTCATTTGCAGTACTAGCTTCGATCTCCATGTTTACCAAGTCTTTTCATGGAAAATGTGAGAAGTGTCAGATAATAGAAGTCTCAATGATGTATTTCACAGTGTTTAAGAAATGAGAATTTTATAATCAAAGGAAAATTATACAAACATGCAATATTTTCAAGGCTTGAAAACACAATGTATGACATGACAATTGAGTAACTTACAATAAACTTCATGAAAATCCTGAACTCTAGGAGCTCCATCTATCACATTGTAGAAATGAGTACGAAGAGATCCACTGACTAAGGCTTTATAAACCATATTGGTCAAGTTAATACCCACAATGGCAAAGGAGTAGCTGAAAAAGCAGAAGGAATTTTATCAGTGATGTTGATGTCACCCCTTTCATGGATAATGTTTTTAACATGTACTGTTATAAACTTATCGAAAGAGATGCTATCCTTAAAAGTATCTGTCATATTTAATTCAATTACTATCTATAAAATTTGTCTATGTGTTCACTGTTATTCTTGCCATGTCTGTTGAAATAAAATTTTCAAACAATTTTACACTTTTGTCCATAGAACTCCCTAATCTTAGATTTTCATAAAATATATTAAATACATATGAGGATTGATCAAAAGCTATTTCTTGTAAGAATTTCTTACCCATATTTAGGGTGATGAGATCGAGACAGAAGGTGTTTACACTGATCTGAATACTGTATGGCAAAGTATCTGCAAAAATCAAAAAACAAGTATATCTATGCCATCAGTAGATTAAATATGATCACTGCGCCTATCCATGTATTCCTTTCTTGTCTTGTGTACAAGAGATGCAAAAGTTTGGCTATATAGGCCATCAATGTAAAACATTTTCAAGTATTGTTTCTGCAATAAAAGCAGCTACAATGGAGCCCATATATAAAGAATATATAATACTTCACCTTCCAGACGAAATTTTGACCAACAAGAAATCTGTGAGCCAATACTCACTAGCAACACCCCCGCTCTAATGTAAATAAACACTATCATTTAATATAAACAAGTTCAATTACAGGTAGATGAACAGAAAAATATGAAGTTGACATCAAATTCATATCAAAATTAATCCCATCATATGGCATGCCTCAAGAAAGAGTGTACTAAAATTTCAAGCATCTGCTATGAATAGTTAATGAGAAACTGTGACGAAAAACTTGTTATGTATGAAACAGACGCACAGACATCAGATTTGACCAAAAATGTATCCCACCATATGGCATGCCTCAGAGAAGATTGTGTTAAAATTTCAAGCTTCTACGGTGAGAAGTTGCTGAGAAAACTGTGGGGAAAATTTGTTATGCATGAAACGAACAATCGCACAGACAAACAGGAAGTTGACATCGGATTTGGACAAAAATGTATCCCACCGTATGGCATGCCTCAGAGAAGATTGTGTTAAAATTTCAAGCTTCTACGATAAGTAGTTGCTGACAAAACTGTGACGAAAATTTGTTATGTATGAAACAGACAGACGCACAGACAAACAGGAAGTTGACATCGGATTTAAACAAAAATGTATCCCACCGTATGGCATGCCTCAGAGAAGATTGTATTAAAATTTCAAGCTTCTACGATGAGTAGTTGCTGAGAAAACTGCGATGAAAATTTGTTATGGACAGACACACGGACACACAGACGGATGGACAGACAGACAGACACACAAGGGTAAAACAGTATACCCCCTCTCCTTCGGAGAGGGGGTATAAATATACATAATTTTATGTATTCCAGTAATCAAGGCATTTCATTAATAAGGACAATTGACTAAGGTAATCAAACATCTTGGTTAACAATGTGTAACTGTACTTACAACAACTGGTTGAGTCCCAGTATACCCATGCCCCTAAAATCTGTCATTGGATCCTCCCCTTGGAATCCTATGACTGACCACTGTTTGGATTTTCTGGACTCTAACTTCTCATCTGGCATTAAGATTTTCCATAACTGCAAAAATTCACATCTACTAGATTTTTTTTTTTAGTAAAGAAATATTTTGTCACCATAATTTGACAGTGTAATACAAAGTGTACTTCAAGTTACAAGGTTGTCTATTAAAAGTCGGGTAGTTATATATATTTTGTCTGTATGACTGTATTGGTCAAAACATGGACAGAAACCTGTATCCAAACATGTCATTGTCTAATTTATATAATTATCTATGCTTACACCTGTACCTGCATTAATTTTTCTTCATGTTCCGAGTTTTCTTGTGAATATGATGTTTTTCTCATCATTTCTATTTCCCTCTTTAATCTTTTGTATCCACATATTTGGCACAAGCAGTCTTGTAAATCTCCTTTAAATCTGAAAATTACATTTTACAATTAACTTTCTCTAAGCAAAGGCAGCAAAATATTTTTTTCTTTCAAAAGGAACTGCTAAAATTATTTACATTCAGTACACTGTCTGGAGAATAGTTAACCCTGAACTTAAACTGTCTCTATCATTACCCATGAATCTAAAATTTTGAAGTCTAGAGTAACTTACTTAACACAAGACAAACTCAAGTAATTTATTATCCTGTGATTTATAGTCACATTTTTTTTAGCTATATACTCTCTTTCTCCGTACTTCATGTGAACCTCTGGAATGATCTGCTTGACTTTCATCACCTCGCCCACTGCTACAACTATATCAACATCCTCCTCCTTGCTCAACTGGTGTAGGTATGTAACATTTGATAACTTCAGACTTCTCTCTGCATCAAATGAAAAGATAACTAAGGGCCTATAGGTTGCAACACTCATATGATGCATCTGCCCGATACCAAAACAATATGTCATGACAAATAAAAATTTGCAGATATGCCAACATTCAAAATACTTTTGTTGCAGTCAGTTTTTAGAATAAGTCACGATTACACATACTAGTTGATAGCATATTGCTTTTTTTTCTTCTCTTATTATTTGGTCTCTAAATCCAAAAGGCAGAGAGTAGGAAGAATATATAACAACATCTTTGAGGAAATTTTTTTTCCTGTATTCCATAAACCGTTCGGCCTCAGGGTGTATGGAATAAAACATGTGGTATATCCCTGTACACCCTTGCTTGGACCTGGGTTTTATTCCATACACCCCAAGTCCATAGGGTGTATGGGAATTTACCCGTTTTATTCCATACACCCTGTGGTCGAAGGGTGTATGAAACACAACCTGGGGTAAAATCCCTGTACACCCTTTAAATTGACATGGATGACTAATTAAGAGGCCCTGTGTTCTGGTCCCTGTGACAGTGTTATAAATAATTGCACATAATTTTTACCAGTTCAATCCCATTCTTCACGTTATTGATCCCAATACAAGTATTGTAGTTTTTGTACAAAACTTTAATTTACCTATCCTCAAAGTCCTCTTAGCCCCCTTTCTTTCCTCATATGTGATACGCAGAAGTTCACATTTTCCTGTCACTCTGCGAAGAACCCACTTCCACATGGGGCGTATTAAGAAGAAAAACAGAGCTGACCATGCATTTTGAAACCAGTCACTCAGCATTTGTATCATAACTTTGATAAGCAGCCACTAACTGAAATAATAACAAACTTATTTTAGTAAAATTTATTTTAATGTAAAATTGCTTGGATCCATCCCCCAAATTTGAGATCTAACGTTATATTGGTAGCTTTAAAAAAATCTGAATCTACCAATATTATATTTGTTTTAAAAATAGCATCTTAAATATACGACACCAAAAGACTTTAAATCAGCTGATGCAGTGACTGCTTCAGATATGAAATTTGTCATATTTTCATTGGTTGTCAATTTCTTTTCAACGAATAGAAAATCGATTGCATTTTTGACAAGACAGGTGGTTGCCGAAAGTAATTGATTAAGACCAGGTTAAGTATTTTGTAAGGTGACAATTACAAAGAAATATATTCAGAAACACTTTACACATACAACAAATCAAAGGAACTGGAGAAAATACCGGAAATGAATTAAAAAGGGTAACCAAGACACATCCAATCATCGTTCTTCTATTTTCTCCAAAAAAGAAAAAGCCAACTGCTTAGTTTCGTAAAAATAAAGTAATGTGTTTGTGTAAATTATGCTTCAAATTAACCATAAAGCATAACTTAAATAGATAAATATATAACGAAACTTTACTTTGCAATACACCTTATTAAATAAGCACGATAAGGTGATAATATATTTAGAGAAATACGTAAATCGTCGGGTAAAGTGGAAACAATATGGCGCGAGTGAAATGTCATGATCGAAGAAAGATGTCAGTAGAATGTTTACATTTTTTGTTATTTATTCAAAGTTTCACACAATGCTTTCTTCACACAATAGCAGTAGAAAGTCATAGTCAAGGTGAGAAATTATTATTTCTGTGAATAATTCAAAATTTACAGACAAAATCTTTGTGACTTTCTGCACAACTGGCTCGTGTTTGTTGTCGTGTTCATATTGTTCAATTTCCCAATGTTTATCAACAAAACAACATTTAACCTACATCAATCTATTTACAAAAATATTGCAACATTTACTAAGAATAAAGTCATATACTTTCATATGATGAAATCTAAAGTAACTTTTCTGAAATGTACAAAGTCCATATTAGTGTATAAGCTTAGTTAAGTTCTTCAGCATGTTCAGTAGGACTATTTTGGGAGAAGACATTTTTTAAAGACATATAATGTTTTATACTGTGTTGCATTACATGATATGAGTCAACAGGGTTAACTTGAAGGTTTTTAATTTTGATTGATGATTTTAATAATTTGTAATTCATTACATTTTGCTTGAGTTGTGATCAAATGTAATGAAAAATGCTATATTTTTATAATGTTAGGAAAATGGGGACGTTTAATTATTTTTTACTATTATTTTTCGTTTTAATAATGAAAATGAATACAAATTATTATTTTTATATAATCAAATAATATGTTATCATGGTTATATTTATGCTTAGTTAATGTGTAGAAACCACTGATGACTTAAATTTAATTACAATAAAGTTTATTTCCTTTTATCACCTGACAAATCAGAATGACAAAAATTGAAATCTTAATGAAGAAATCAGGGACACTGCAAGGAATAGCATCCTCTTGCAAAGAGCATACTTATAAATCAAGGCAGCATTTGACACAATCCTGGTTTTTTTTTTTAAATAAAACAAATTACATCACTCAATCCCGGGTATTCAAAAAATGCTTATATTCTTAATAATTTTTATTACTGAAACAGTTAGAATTAACTCTCTCAAAAAGAAATAATTGTAAATACAAAATAATACACACAATTGCATGGAAAAGGCGATAATCTAAATTAAAATGTTATAAACCATTTGTAAATTTCATGAAGAAAGAATGAGTATTTATTTCGCCGACTCGAAATTCCCGGCCCGGCCCGGGTTTCGCTACCCATTTTAGTCACACTCGTAAAGTGGAAACAATATGGCGCGAGTGAAATGTCATGATCGAAGAAAGATGTCAGTAGAATGTTTACATTTTTTGTTATTTATTCAAAGTTTCACACAATGCTTTCTTCACACAATAGCAGTAGAAAGTCATAGTCAAGGTGAGAAATTATTATTTCTGTGAATAAGTCAAAATTTACAGACAAAATCTTTGTGACTTTCGATCTCGTGTTTGTTGTCTTTTGTACCCAATGTTTATCAACAAAACAACATTTAACCTATATCAATCTATTAACAAAAACATTGCAACATTTACTAAAAATAAAGTCATATGCTTTCATTTGACGAAATCTAAAGTAACTTTTCTGAAATGTACAAAGCGTATTTTCTTAGTTAATAGCATGTTCAGTAGGATATATAAGACTATAATGTTTTATTCTGTGTTGCATTACATGATATGAATCAACAGGGTTAACCTGAAGGTTTTAATTTTGATCGATGATTTTAATAATATGTAATTCATTACATTTTGCTTGAGTTGTGATCAAATGTAATAAAAAAAATGCTATATTTTTATAATGTTGGGGGAAATATTACAGTATGAAAATGGTTATATTTATGCTTAATGTGTAGAAACCACTGATGACTTAAATTTGATTACAATAACGTTTATTTCCTTATATCACCTGGCAAATCAGAATGACAAAAATTGAAATCTTATGAAGAAATCAGGGACACTGCAAGGAATAGCATCCTCTTGCAAAGAGCATACCTATAATTCAAGGCAGCATTTTACACAATCCTGGTTCAAATCACATCACTTCCATTTTGTACAGAATTAACTCTTTCACCCACAAAATAATACACACAATTGCATTACTGTATACCCTCCAACATTATAGTGTGGGGATAAAAATTAAAGAAAACTGAAATCATGAGATTTCAAGGAAGTCTAGAGTTTTTTAAACATTGCATTTATTGCAGAAATAAATAATATGATTTTTTTTCCTGCAACAGCTGCAACATAAAATTCCTACTAAAATACAAAAAAAGACATTGTCTTGGTTTTAATTAGTAATCATCTAAAATAGCATTAAATATTATTTTATTGATTTGTGTGTCATTGTACACTGTATATTTCATGGATGGAAGAGCCACCACTAAAGAAATCTGTAGAGGTGATTATGTTTACTGACTGATATAAAACAATGGTTTTCGTTAGAAATAGAGGAGAAATATACTTTTTTAGAAAGTATACAGAGGAAATTATAATGATAGGTATTGATCATGATATTGTTGTTTTGGACTTTTTTATTGATTTATTTTGTTTTTCTTTCAGCATTTGTACAAACAGACAACCACCTTACGTACATAGGAGATGGAAGAGATATCAATGGAATACCTTTAGAAGTGAGTTCAGGTTTAAAATAAAATTGAATTGTAACATTCCTGTGTTTGAATAGTCTGTGGTTAAGACCAATGTTACTTTTGTGAAAAGAATTAAAACTTTCAAAATAATGGTGATGAAACAAAAATTGGCTTTCAGATGTTGAAAGCATCCATAAGTACAAGATGACTTGAAATTAATCCGAAGAAAAAAAATAAAAATATTGAAACTGTATATATTACATGTATGATTAAGTTATAAAATAACTATTAAATAATATTCCTTTTCTTTCTTCTCCCAGGTGAATCCAGGTCATACATATAGGTGAGGGCCACTGACACTTCAGCATAGAAAATAAAGGATTTCATTTAAAGATGTTTAAGCTTGAAACAATTTTTTGACAAAATCATTCTAATCTAAGTCATTTAACAATTTATTATTTACTGTGTTATATATATAAATTAATTTGTTAACTTTTTTTTTGCAGTGCTGAAAATATTATTTATAAAAATTCTGTTAGATTAGACCCACCATGGCTAGATTTCCAAGAAAGGTAAACAATATTTATAATTCAGATTTTACAGGTGTTTATATTATCAGACATCACTTACATTATATCATATTTACTTGTATGACTCTGTTTGTATTTTATGTAATTTGGTTTGTTGACTTAGATTTTATTTGTAGACAGTGCATTTAATATCATTGTTATCTACCATTCAAGTAGTTCAAAGATCAGAATCTTTCTTCTTTGGTGTTTAAAAGCAGTAGATTAGTAAGAATTACAAAAGGACTTCTTAAGGAAGAATAAAAAATTAGTTTGAAGGTAATGTCTCGTAATGTTAGAGTTTAAAATTTGCATGTTGAAAATAAAATGTATTGTTTTTTTACGAACTTTTATATCTTTTTTTTTCAGACCAGTTGGAATGCCATTTATGGAACAAGTTGTAGTTCACAATACAGATAGTAGAAATGATTTACACCTGCTCTCAATATCGGGCAGTACAGTTCATTTCCACTGCTCATTTTTTCAAGAAAAAGTAAGTTCTCTGTATATTGATATTCTATAATTTAGTAAAATTACAAATTGATATGAACTTTGGCAATTAATCATTTTGATTATTGTGACGTGTATTTTGCACCATGCTTTTTGTTTATACTGTAAATGGTTTAAAACTGCTTCAGTTTTTATTCAAACTTATATTTGCAATCTAAAAGTGCGACAAAGGAAGCAAAATGAATTATTTCAACAAGCCTTATCAATATTGTTTTCTCTTCATAGGTTGTTCCACCTGGTGGCAATACAACATTTGATGTAGTATTTTTAGCCAGAGAGGAGGGAAATGTAGAAAATACTTTATATATCCATACTTCTGTAGGGTCTTTTTCTTATAATGTAAGTTTTAAAGCAATATATTGTTATCAATTCTTGTTTATAAATTTATTTAAATGAGACCTACTTTACGTATCACTACTGAATGTCATAAAAAGAATTTTTAAAGGACTATTAAAAATAAAAACTTCTGCAGGTTTTTGGAGTGGGAATACCAAATCCATATAGACTGAGGCCATATTTAGGAGCAAAAGTTCCACTAAATAGCAGTTTTTCTCCCATCATAAAAATACATAATCCCTTCAGCTCAACGCTGCAGGTAAGAGCTTAATTCAAGTAACATCAAATGCAAGTATTATATGATGATGCTGTTTGAATTAGTTTAAGGAGTCATTCATATTCAAAATTATAGTCAGAAAATACTGTAAATGTGTTTGTTTTGGTTATGTTTGTTTTGAGAACATTTTTGATGGTATAATATAGAAGTTACTAGCCTTAGTTGGAAGTTGAAAGAATTGGAAAGTCAACTATACAACTGAAGCAATGAATTTTTTAAAAGCCAAATTAGAGTGTGATTTTTTTTTTTTCAGGTGACAGAAATGTTTTCCAGTGAAGGAGATTTACATTTAGAGTTACCTTCAGGGGATTTAGAAGCCCCCAGGAGTTTATGGGTAAGATGTGCTCTTTATGCTCAGTATCAGGTCTCCTTCAGGGGATTTAGAAGCCCCCAGGAGTTTATGGGTAAGATGTGCTCTTTATGCTCAGTATCAGGTCTCCTTCAGGGGATTTAGAAGCCCCCAGGAGTTTATGGGTAAGATGTGCTCTTTATGCTCAGTATCAGGTCTCCTTCAGGGGATTTAGAAGCCCCCAGGAGTTTATGGGTAAGATGTGCTCTTTATGCTAGGTTTCAGGTCTGTTTCAGGGGATTTAGAAGCCCCCAGGAGTTTATGGGTAAGATGTGCTCTTTATGCTAGGTTTCAGGTCTGTTTCAGGGGATTTGCAGAAAGTTTAAAATGCCCCCAGGAAGGGGGTTTATGGGTAAGATGTGCTCTTTATGCTAGGTTTCAGGTCTGTTTCAGAAAGGGATTTAGAAGACCTAATTTCACCCCCAGGCCTATTTCTATTGTTTATGGGTATAATCAAGTGAAAACATGGATGGCCATTTATTTGTAATATGTATGTGCATGGTATACTCCCTGTCTTACTAGACTGAAAAGGCCTGGGGAAGTTACAAGTATTATTTCAGCAGTTTCTACAATAAAGGAGGTTTTTATATGCTCAGTATCAGGTCTCCTTACCAGGGGATTTAGAAGCCCCCAGGAGTTTATGGGTAAGATGTGCTCTTTATGCTAGGTTTCAGGTCTGTTACAGGGGATTTAGAAGCCCCCAGGAGTTTATGGGTAAGATGTGCTCTTTATGCTCAGTTTCAGGTCTCTTTCTTGTCACATTCATCAGATGTGATGTCCTGACTTTGAGAGTTAGGTTTATATTCATGCAATTTGAGTCTAAGGATGATATTGATTAATGATTATTATATATTAACCAAATCTTCTTACGTATATGTACATGTATCTTGTTGTTTCTTTCCCTTTCAGGAGATCCCTCCTTACGAGACCAAAACTGTTATGAAGGCAAATTTTGTAGGGAGGGTGGAAAATAACCATACTGCCTTCATCCGAATAAAAACAAACCAAGAGCAGACGAACAATTTAGTTATTTTACCTGTTGAAGTGGAAGTTAGCGCAGGTGAGATTTAGTAATGGCAGCTTGAGAGTCCTGAACTTCTTTGTTGCCAATGTTGTAATGCTGATTTTTAATCTTAAATTTTGATTTTCTGGACATTGTCCTTATTTGGCAAAATAATATTGTATGTTCTCTTTGCACACAAACTATTAGCTGAACAAAATTTTGATGATTTTTGATTATTGTGTTTCACAAAATGTCAAATACTTGTGTAACATGGAAGTAGTATATACATGTAGTTCATTAGTTTATACAATTAAAACTTAATGGGGGGCATGGATAAAGTATGAAAAAAAAATTTAGCCACTTGATTATGTTGGGTATTATGTACATGTTAAATATGCATATTTGGTATATACATATATAGTTAAGTATGCTTTGGTGAAATATAAGAAAGGGAAGCACTCTTTACTGATGCTTGACGTGAAGTGGATCCACTTGAGTACTCTTTATATTTCAGTTCCTGGTCTATATTCCCCTGCGGAGATGATAGATTTTGGAATAATGAGAACACTCGACGACCCTGTTACAATTAGTCTTAACCTTGTCAACACCGGCTTTAAACCAATTCACATTTCAGTAAGCACATGAATAATCAATAAGATTTGTTTGTCATTTAAGTGTTTAGATGAGTTTTACAGTAGGACCAGCTCAAACATGTTTATTTGTCAAATTTTTTACTAGTGAATATAAGAAGAAAACTTTCTTTTTGACAGTGAGACTATGAGAATTTAGACACAGCTACATAAATTGCATTTTGAAGAAGGTTACTTTTAACAGTCAAATAGTATTTGTTGATTTGAATTTTTGAAAAAATATCAAGTTTAGAGCTGCAATTGAAGGTTAACCTAACTGGATATTTGTTGCCTCCTGTACTTTGTAATACAAGTACTTTTGGAATTTGAATATAATCTTAATGCAGAAAGTTTTTAACAGCTTTTAGGGAACAGTATTTGCATCAGTTCAGGATTTTTATAAAAATCAAAAAATGATAAAAATTTTGAAACTGTGAAATATTGACGTGTAGCTAAAACAAAATACACGTATAATGATTTTTTTTTCAGAGTGTATCAGTTTCTCCTCCAAATGAAGCTATTAGTATTGATTTTCGTCCAACAAAATTACAACCAGATATTTTACGACACACGTCAATTGCTAGAATTACGTTCAATGGTAAGTCATAGTTTAAAACTGTTTTTGTAAGAAATAATATGTAGAATTAGACTTATTCCTGTGTGTGATAAACAAGTTTTATCAATGATCCATTTTTGTCTACATTTGTAAATATTTGTTAAACAAGTATATGTAGAATAAAATATTTAAAGAAAAAATTTTAATAGAATTAAATTAAATATTATTCACTATTTCATTCAAAGCTGAAAAGGCTTTACACAGAAAGCAGTGGTCGGGAAAAATTATTGTGAAATCCAGGAATGGCCAGCACAAAATTACAATTCCTTATAAAGCAGCTGTACTCCACGGGTAAGTTTTCCCCATCAACGTTCATGAAAGATAAGCTCCAGGTCTTGGTTTGCTTTTCTATGAAAGTAATAAGAAATTGAAAGTAATAAGAAATTTGATGTCATAATGATTGAAATTTATTTTTAAAAATTTCTGTTAACTGACGAGCTGATTAAATTCTGAAGACGGGATATAAAATCATTGTTGTAATTTTTTTTCTGTTTTTAGGTCTTTGGTGTACAGCATCAACAATACATACTTTTTTAGTGCCAGAGACATCTGGAACATCACTAGAGCAATAACTTTTACCAACACCTTTAATTTCTCTGTTGTTCTCTACAACATTTCTATTCCTAGCCAATTCCATCACTTCTTCTCTGTAAGTATACTATTTCATTTTCTTCTCTTTCAATATATTCTATTTTTTTTCTATAAGTGGTTTTATAATGCTAGGTGGAAAAAAGAGACTGTCTCCTATGAGGGAAAAATTTACATCATCTTGTTGTCATTCTTGGATTTGATTGTTAGATTAAGGCAATTTGGAACCATTCAAATTAATAGGAAATATTGGACCAACTTGCAAGTGACACTGTCCAAGTATTTATAATTTACTTAGCTAGCATGCTAAGCTCTTTTGTCCTTGACTTCTTTATTGTTGCCATGGTTCAACTTCACAAATACATTGTTTGTGAAAAGTTTTACTTTAGGCTGACATGGACTTAGAATTAGAAAACCAGTACATATTTATTTCTTATTTCCATTTATCTCAGTAATAAACCACATGTTAAAATTGTCTGTAGTATTTTGTTAAAAAAAAATAATCTGTATATAAAGGGTGAAAATAATAATTTGCTATTTAAATGCATAGGTTTCTCAAGACTAATATTCTTCTGCTCTTTTTTTCAGATTCTTAATTTTTCCGCCCCTTTTATGCTGAAGCCGAGGAGAACTTCTACTCCATTTTATCTCCAGTTTCATCCCAACGAAACACAGCTCCATTTTACAACTTACATAACACTACATACCAACGCTTCAACTTTTACAATTCCGATTATAGTTTACAATGGGCTTCTCAAGGTATGTATTTACAGACAGAAAGAGGAGAGAAAAGAATTGGGAAGGTCAAAATTCAATTTTCAGTATAAGTTCAGCGATATGCCTTTTATAATGGAGTCAAACACTTCCTTTTAGGTTATTCCACACAGACCTGAGAAGTTCAAAGGTCAGTTTGATTTTGGCACCATGGGAGTTGAGGAGAAAAGAAGTATGATATTTACCCTCCGCAACGACAACCCCATTGATGTAAGTAGGGTTAAAGGGAAGAGTCATGACTTTATTAGGATTTCAGATTTAATTTGAATAAAAGGTTGAAATCCTTTTTTTTTTCTTTTTTTTTTTTTGTATAAAAGGTTTTATTTAATCATCTTTGAATCTGATTTTTTTTCTCTAAACTAGGGCTGAAACGATTCACCGAAATATCGATATTGTTCGATATAAGTGCTCGGTTCAATTTTCGATTCACCATCTCGATTTTCGGTTCGATACGTTTTTTTATAATCGGGTTTGGTTAACTCTTTGAAATAGATCGGGTTCGACCTTATTTTAACAGTTTGACACACACGAGGGAGAAAATTGGGACGGTAAAGTTTCAGAGTAGGCTGCCTCTGTTATTATTTATACGAATAAAGTGTTCTTAATCAACAGAACCACAAGTATCAGAGATGTGCAATTAACAAATTAGTAAATTCGGGCTAGTAAAAATTATAACTACGCATGTAATACATAAAGTACAACCGGTATTTTACTCATTTTTTGCCATCAAATTCCAAACCAGTGAATATTTTCCAGGCAGCATGCTCCTACTGTCAATAAATCTCCATAATTTTCTCCATTTTGCAGTACCTGACTTATTTACTTCCAAAAACGATCGTTTTTTTTTCCTAATCCGAATTTCCTCCGTTTATTGTAAATACATGCAGATATCTCATTAAATTATTTACGATCACTCAATCAACTGAAAGATCAGTGTGATACACATGAAATATATTTCTAGTGTATTTAAGGATTTAATATGAAAACAAAATGAATTTTTTTTCATTCTAAATGAGCTAGTGCAAAATAATAAAAAGGAAAGGTCTTCAGATATTTTTATTAAATTCATTTTTATTTTCTGTCATAATCATTAATTTTACATGATTTAATTTTAATAGTGAGAATAAAATTTTAATTTTCAAAAGATTGACCTTAGTACCCTGACTTTTTCAATGATTAATTTTTTTTTTTTCAACATTTGTTTTATTTTAATTTTTGTCCCTATATTTGGGCTAATAACTTTTTACTTGGGGCTAGTAACATGCTGCCCACTAGCCCGTGGGGTACTTGAATTTTTAGATTGCATACCCCTGGTAGTATATTTCTATTGCATCCCCACCTTTTACTCTTTGTTTTTTTAAATCTGAATACGTTTTCTTTAACCTTATGAATAGTTTCGTTCTTAAATTGTATCGTATTGAAAAAATTGAATTGTGACACAAGTATTGCAATACGTATCGTATCGTGGAGGGGGCATATCGTTTCAGCCCTACTCTAAACCATACTGAGGTCTTATTGTCCCTCTTAATTTTACTTCTCATTGAATGTGAAAGTATCCATAAGTTTTTGACTTATCCTCCATTAACTTATCCTCAAAAGATGTTGCCATGTGAATATTAATTAATCTTTTATCATAATATCTATATATCATATTGTCTTTTCAGCCTAATCTATTGTTTAATCTATGGTTTCTTCTGTTTAAAACATATTATGAAGCATAAAATCACTGTCAGAATACTGTAAACAGGGATATTTTCGCCTCCGTTTTATTTTCGCCTCTTCGCCCAAACCACAATTGGGCGAATTTAAAACGGGACAAATTAAAAATACATAGCATGATTTCTTCAACAGAATTGTAACTGAGTGAATTTAAAACAGGACAAATTTGTTTCCAAGTGTGAAAAGGCAAAAATAATATATACAGTAGTTTATTATCTTACTTTTAAAGTTATCTTCTTACAAGAAGTAGGATTTTGATAAGTGCCTTTACACATAGTTTTATATGTATTTTCAGGTTCATATAGGGGAGATTACCCCAGATATGAATGGTACCAAGGTGTTTTTTCTTGGAATGGAAAAGGGAAATGGGACTATGTTAACACAAAGACATAACATTACAGAAGTGGACTACAACTTTGTAAGTAAATCAGGACACACTGTTGAGTACACACTGATAAGTCAAAGATCAACTACTAGAAAGATTGGGTTAAAAGATATAGGTAAATCAAGAGATAATCATACAGAAAAAAAGGAAAAGAAGCTTTCAAACGAGATTTCTATACAAGGATCATAATTTTATTTTTGGTGGTGGTATAGTTTCAAGTCAGAGTGCTACATTTCTCTCCCTTTGTTTTATGTACAAATCAGTAGAGCTACAGGCTTTAAAGAGACCCCTGTTATTGTAATATTGCTCTTGACATTGTGCAGCTGTATATACTATGCTCTATTTGTTTCCATAATTTTTTGTATTAATCACAAAACTTCCTCAATTGGAGAGCCTTGGAGTACCTAAAAATACACCATACATTTCCTGGGATTATATTTATGCCAACACAACATTAATTATTTGGATTGATTTTGCATCCTTTGTTATTTCCTGTAATGTGGTTATATATTTTTTGGTATTTAGTTACAGTAATTGGGAACATGTTGTGTTTAAGCCTCTTCTCTCTGTCTTTACCTGTGTTGACCTTTGGGTTGACCTTTTTACCTGTTTTTACCTGTTTACCTGTGTTTAAGTATGGATATGACTTGTCAGAGGACTTGATTGCCAGGGGTGAAGTTTGGACAGTTTTGTGTCTCAACATTGTGCAGATTATTTTTAAGGTGGAACATTTAAAATCATTCCATTTCATAAGAAAATAAAAGAATTGGAATTTAACAAATTCTGCATGTGAAATCTATACAGCTGTAATTTTTACCCTATATACAATTGTGTTGATGGAGACCATTAAGTTTCATTTACTGGTAATATTTGAAAAAGGGTATTTATCTGTAAGTGATGCCTTTCAAATACAGAAAAGACTTTTTTTGTGAATGAATAATTTTCTGATTTTGATATATCTGTTAATCAACTTCAATCTGTATTATTTCAGTTGAAGATCAAACCATACCATTTTGCAGTGTTTAGATTAAATTTAACAGCACCAGACCATGAAGGTGTTTTTGCTTCTGACATGCTAATAACAACTCAGTTTGAGGATATCTGGATACCTATAGCTGTCCGTACAGCGGATGGGAGTCTTATAGCTATCCCAGAGTCACTTCATTTTGATAAAATGCATCCTGTAAGTAAACAAGGAAATACATGCATTTATTAACTTATTAGAGCAATTAAATTACATTTGAATATGCACTGTCATAATTGGAGTACTTTCTTCAATTTTATTTCATCAGGAAATTGTAGACAAATAGGATTTAGGTTTTAGATCCAGATTTGGAGACAGAATTACAAATAAAACATTTAACTGGAAATGTTCATGTTCTTGGTATAGCTAAATCCAGCACATAAATTATTTTTAGGTAGGATTTAGTTTTTGAGCCCTGATTTAGAAACAGAATTGTTTTAAATACCGGTAGTACATGTCAATGGAAATCACATATTTTGTAAAGCTTAGTCATACTCATTGCTTGAGAAAAAGTGTCATACTTTGAGGTTAAGTACCGTGGAGTATAACTCTATTGAAACTCAGTCATTTTTGTCCAGAAATTTATTTCTTCAACATTTTCTTATTATCTTATCGGTATACTGTATGTGTACTTACGAAAAAGGGGTTCATATTTTAGCAGCTTTGCAGGGCTCCCACTGGACCGAAAATGTTTTTCGCCACTTCTCGCAACAAAAGGAAAGGCATACTTACATCATTTTTTGCACTTTAATGTTATTCAATTTTTTTTTATTAATATGTAATGGTTTCCTGTTACAAATATATCACAGACATTGTTTTAAAATTGTAATGTTTAAAGCTTACAGTATCCATTTAAAAAAAGAAAGAAAATGTAATGTTGGAATTCCCCTTGTTTAATCCAAATTATATTATTTCAAGCAATTTTGTAACCGTTTATTGCTCCAGGATAATTACCTAGTCACAAAGATTTCCTACATGTAGGTTTCAGTTTTCACACCTCTGCTGCATTGAATAATTACATTAAATAAACAAAGGAGCTAATGCTACACAAAATTTGTACAAATATTTTCGCCACTTATGAAGTACTTTTGAAAAAAATACAGCTCGAGCCCTGCAGCTTTGGCACAGAGTACGATGAGCTAATTCATGAATATTGCTATGAAATAACAGTACAATATACAGCAGTGAGCACAGACATATGTAGCGCAAATTCATGATTTCGCCAACAACACCATATCCAGTGAATGCACTAAATAAATACTTTGAATAGGCCAATTTATGTACATGTATATAATTTCTAACATTGTTTAATTTGTAACACAGATTGATAATCCTAAAATTGCATGCAGCATTGTTTTACATGATTCAAGATCAACTCACATTCTGAAAATCAAGTTTTGTTGTGACCTTGGTTAACCATATAAAAAATCTTTCTTTTTTCAGGGTATGGTAGATTATCGAGTTTTACAGATACACTCCACATTCCGTGACTATATGGAAGTAATAGGAGTAACATTCCAGCCTCCTGATAGTAGATTTTACTATGAACCCCCCAATACTGAAAGAATACTCCTTGTTCCAGATAAACCAAATAATGTAAGACATTGTTTTTACCGAGTCAGCTGGTGGCACACTTGAAATATCTTTCTATGTGTTTAAGACTTGTTGTCAAACTTAAAACACATTAAGAGATACATGTAGTGAGTTTTGAAGAAAAAGAAAGATATTGGAGTACCTTTATCTGAATCTTCACATAATATTTCATAAAAATATATACATCAGGTTATAAAATTCAGTGTTGAAAGTTACACATTTATCTTGGACATTCAAGTGTTGTCAAGAGATTCTGTATTACATTTTGGGTTGATCCTGTTCGAAATCAATGTTAATTAAAATAAAAAATGTGAATTGTGAAACTGATCTCTTTTTTAGGTTGGGAAAATATATTTTGATGCAAAAAGAGAATGTAAAGATGATTGCTATGTAGGTTTAGCAACTAATACCCCAGGTGAGTGAATCTGATATGCTCAGATAAATCTGAAATAATTTTTATCTGAAAGAATGTTTGTGTTGTTTGTTATACCTGTAGTAAATATTGAGATTGTAAATTTCAGCTGGTCACCAGTGGTTGATTGGTCTAGGGTTATTCCGAGATGTCATAGAAACAGATCAATATTTATACACCAAGCTGCAGCAAAAGTGGCGAACCATTCAAAAATCTAATTTAAATACGTAAGTGTTTATGTTTTATCCTTTTGTTTACAGAAGACTGAAAATTTTACTGGTAAGAGTTGAACACTTTTTCAGTGAGTCTTATTTTTCTCCCATCATCTGATTACAGAGCTAACGTTACTATAGAAATGGACACCAATGAAGTCCGAGGTTTTTTATATTCTGCTCAAGCACACTTACATTGGCCTTCTCTAGTCAGAAAATGTCATATTAGATTTCCACTGACGCAAATAGGAAATATTTCAGTAAGTATCTGAGACTGATTATTTACAGATTTACCTCCGTAAAAAAAAACTATCGTATGTCAACAATTAATTAAGTAAAGATATTCCTAATATTACTCATACTTTCATGAAGAAAAGTTAATCATAAATGATGGTCACATGTCCAACTGTACATCCAACATAATAGAAATAAAAACTGTCTTCCAAAAATTAAGGTGGTTTTCTCATGTGTTTTTGATGTTATTTATTTTTCTAGATATCTGATTTTATTGTGGAAAATCCAGGAGATATTCCAGTTTTAATCCAGATTTTACCTTTACCACTTTATCCTAATCCACAGACTATAGCAGATCTTTTATACAGAAAGTAAGTCTAGAAGTCTATCCCAGCTGAAAAATATCCCAGATTGAGATATTTTTTTTTCTAAATACAGTAGAGGATAATTGTGAAAAAAAGATTTCAGACTTGGTGTCTTGCTTAGAGAATGAAGATTTCAGTACTATAATTAATTTAATGTAGTGTTATATGTTGGAATAAGTTTGTGTAATCCTAATTAGAACGGTTTGTTTATTTAGTTTTAGATTTTCCGCTGATCCAGGTGACACCATTGAAATGGACGACCTGGATATTTTTACCTTACCTGATTTAGAACAATATAATGTAAGATTTTTGAGATGCAGTTTAGAATAAGTCATTGAATACAATTTTAGATTGTGTGCAAAGCTTGTTTACAAATTTATTCTCAATTTTCAGCCCAGTCGACAAAATCCTGTCCCTGGTTTTAGAAAACACATTGAAACTTCATTAGGAGTGAAGCCACACAAACAAAGTATAACCACAATACTGCAGCCTGGGGTCAAGGTCAAAGTCAGGGTGGGGTTCCAACCAAAGGATGATATTTCTAGAACTTCTATAATACTCATAAGGCAAGTTTATCCAAATGTAACCTCATATCTGTGTTATTCTTTTGTTTTGTTTTCTGAAAGCTGAAAAACAACTTGAATCACAATGAAAATTGGATTTATCACAATAAATTAATGTTGAGTTAAGGGATTTATTTATAACTTGAAAAAAAGCTTCTACAAATGTATTTGTAATTGAAATGAGAGAAATACAATGGATGTACATGCTAATGATTAATTTTGTTTTGTCTTGTGTAGGAATAACTTAACAATAATAGATGCAATAGTTGTACAAGGTCAGGGAGGACGAGGAGAAATGAAGCTCAGCAACAAACGACCAGGATCCTCCATACCTCTACAGTTTGACATAACAGAAAAGCACCTCAAAAACTGTGATAGTAAGTACTAAATGTCACAGAAAAGTTCCTCAGAAACTGTGATAGTAAGTCTGTGATAGTAAGTCTCAAAAGGCACAGAAAAGCAGCTCAGAAACTGTAATAAGTCTCAAAAGGCACAGAAATATGCCTCAAAAACTGTGATAAAAAAGTATCATTGTCCTAGAAATACATGTATACATCAAAAACTGCAATAGAATGTTGTGTTACCGTAGAAGAAAAGTTTTCAAACTAAGTTTAGCATTAAGTTTTGCTTTGTCAGACATACATACATGTATGTATTAAAAAATTCCCAAAATATGATGTGAAATCATTGCCATAAACAAAAAACTCAATTATTGTTAAAGTGAATATTATCAACAAAATGATAAAAAAGTGGCATAATTACTCTTAAACAAGTGCATTAATATATCAAATTTTAAAAGTATGGAGATATAAATCTCCAGAAACCTATTTTGTTGTGATTTTTTAAAGTAATAAATGTTTTACTGATTTTCAGAAAAGAAGCAAACAAAGAACACCATGGTTCCCAATTTTACAGTCAGAAGATCTTTTACTTTAAAGAATACAGGGGAACTTCCCTTCTTTATCCATAGTTACAGCATTAATGGGTCACCGTGTGAAGGTTATGGGTTCCGAGTTTTAGATTGCGAGGGTTATGAGATGTTACCTAATACCACTCGAAAAATAGACATAGCGTAAGTTGTATGGATGTTTCATACTGTAAGTTGTATGAACTTCAGATATTTTAAATTTTAAATAAGGAACTTAAATTATTAACCTTTGTGATTGCAAATGCTATTTCATGAATATGAGGGAAAAGGGAGAGTTCATAAATTTATAAATATACAAGTACACAGAATTGAAGTTTTGAATTTTAATTATGAGAAGAATTTTTACTTTGTATACAATAATTATTCATTGATTACTACAGGTTTACTCCTGATTTTACCATGTCCAGGATAAGAAGAATTTTAACAATTCACAGCAGTTTAGGACCTGTCGCAAATTACACACTACAGGCCACCATTCCCCCACATACTCTGTCCCGCTGCTCGGCAGCTCTACCCCGTCCCAACTGGGAACCAGTTTTATACTACTCAATCACTTGTGTGATGGCTTTCCTATTATTCTGCATACTTGTGGCAGCATATTTTGAAGCGGATAGGATTTTTGTTGCAGATATAATTCGGAGGAAGATAAAATTTAGTAGCGCAGCACAGAATTTTGATAGAACTAAAATATTTGATCTCAGACAAATTGCAGGGTTAACTTCAACACAAACTCCAAACTCCCCTACTAGAATCACCCAAGTTTCCCCACTTCTTACACAAAATAATAACTTAACTACCAAGCCTACAGTGAACTTAAGTAATGGACATGTAGAACACAGGAGCCATAAAGAAGCCTTTGGAAGTACTCTTTTGAAAGTTTTAAAGAGGTTGTTTGCTTCAAAACCTTCAAGATCCAATAACAGCAAAAAACCAAAGGTCGAAAAAGTGGAACCAGTCAAAGAGGAAGTATCTCAGTCCCAGCAGGTGCCAAAAGTCAAACCGACGGACGAACGGACGTCAGTCAACCAGGAATCTACAGAGAAATCCAACACGACACAGAGGAATAAAAATAAAAAGGCAGCACGCAGACAACACTCAAGTGAGCTTTTAACCAATCAGAGCGATGCTTACAACAGTGGTCACCAGGAGGCCAGACAGAATGATACATATAACAGGCAGAACAGCCACGAACACCAGGATAAGATGTACAAAAACTCTCATAAAACTTCTTCTACTGGATTAGATGAGTTTAGTCTGGTGGAGGATACAAAATCTGACATATCTGACAGTAGGTTCATTTTTTCATATCCACAAGAGCTTGATAAATTTTTATTGTCCAAAATAAATATTTTTTTTTGCATGCTTCATCTGCAGCAGACAATGAACTTTTTTGTATGTATAGCTGTCTTGTCATCGTTGTTGTGTATCTTTATAGCAAAATTGAAGAATCGTAAGAAAAACAAAAGCAGACCAGAAATGATACACCGATACATGACTCAAGCCAGCGTTGATGATGAAACATCGTCCACTTCTACCGAATCTTCAGTTGGTGATGTTGAGGAGAAGGTATTGATCATTAATGTAATCAATATCCAGAAATCACTGTTGGTAATGTCAACAAAAAATGTGTATAAGAAGAAGCAGTGGTGAAAGGAAAAAATATTTTAAAAAAATATAGGTCGAATGAATGACTGATTTTTTTATGTTTAAGATGAAGATGCTTGCTTCTTAATACTGTATAAATGTTTTAAAGAGTTCAAGTGCCCGAGACTCTACTCCTGAACCACAGCACCATCCCAAACCGAAAAAGTCTAAACCCCGAGTTGTCAAAACCACAGGACATTACGACAAGACCGCAGATGATGCCGAGTTTGAGCTGACCTCCAAATCAAAGGGACACAAGCGCATCAAGGGCAAGTCAAAGGATGTGTATGGTGGGGACATCTTCCACCCTGAGTAAGGACTGTTTAAATAGCTAATTTAAAAGATCTGTAATTTAGGGAGTATATTTCCAGATTGATTTAATGCTTCTGTTTAAAACTATGTCTAAGTTTTAATTGAAAAGAAAATGTTTCTATTTAATTAAAACTTTAAAAATGTTTTTGAAAGTTAAAAAGCATGAAAGTTAAAAGAGAACTTTAATTTTACAGTTCCCTGGAATTGCCGTATGATATGGAAAAATTGGAAAAGAAGGAAAAGTCTAAGAAGAAAGCTTTGAAACTACAGAACCTGAAAGGTGAGCTTCATATTGTTAATTCTCACAGTTGCACAGCTCATCTGTTATTAGAGGTCTGTGAATTTCTTGGCTAAATGTAAGTTTGGACTGAAAGAGAAAGTAATGAGTGTTTTCCTTTACCATTAGTGCACTTTTAAGTTTTCCCACTGTGTTTTGATTTCTGATTGCCTTTTATCTTTTTTAGATTCTTGTTATTTTGGTATGAGATTCTCACTTTCATTTCATTGTTGTTTTCCCCTTCATTCCTCCCCTTAAAACACAGAAGTTCAGAAAATATCTTACCCCATGCAATTTTACTTGCTACAAATAAACAGATTTATTTTATTATCCAGACAGAATTCATGCACATTGATGTATAACTGCACTTCATTATCGATATGCAAGGAAGCATTTTTGAGGATATTTTTTGGGATTCAATTACATGTATTAGAATTTTTTTTTATATAATTATTTGCTTATTTATTTTCAAAGGAAAGATAAAGGGCTTGGGAATTTTTTTAAAGCTGGAAAGGATGACTGCACTTAATGCCAGGTTTAGGGCTTGTTTTAGTCACTTCTGTTGCTTTTAAATCTTGACCTGAATTCAATTTCTCTGACAAACAAAAATGTTATAAAAAGAATATATGATCAATCTTTTCCCATTATGGCCTCTGTTTTGTATGGAACAAGTACATTATTTACACAGGCTTCAAAACAGAATTATTAATATGGCTACATCCATGTCAGTATTCAGATTTCATTTAAGGCCTAACAATTGAATGTGTTCAAGCACATTGTTCCAGTTAGCACAACATGCTATCATACAAGTCTAGTAACAGCATTTAGTTTAAAGTTATCAGGGGTACGAAGTCATGGGGCATTGTAAATTTCAACATGTCACAACATGATAACCCCCACCTAATTGAGAACTTCTTTGACTGACTATTCCTGCAATTAAATTGTATTTTGTCACAAATCTTACCTGTCCCTAAGTGTAGTCATCTTTTATTTTTATTTTTATTTTTTTTAAGTTTTTGAAAAGTGCAATATCTGTACAATGTAATTTCAGTAAGACAATAATTCAAACATCTTATAATTTTCATTCATTCTATTGTAATTTTGACTTTTTACCTGTATATAGATATATGTTCTGATTTTATATCTGTATATAGGTATATGTTGTGATTTATCTTTTTCACGAAATGTTGGCAGGCACACTGTCCAGTTTTAACAGTCATCTTTAATGTAGTGTGTAGATTTAACTGTTGTTAGTCCCTGTTGTTTGAGATGTTGCATGTTGTCACTGCATGTTTTCGTTGTTGTCTAGGTGACTCGGAAAGTTCTGACAGTCGCGGCAGCCAGGATGAGCCGATGCCTAATTGGGACATGCCCGTCAACTCCCCTGGTTAGCTCTCAATGTGTACTTCTTAAATATCTCAATAGCACTACCCCCTCCAGTTCTCAAGTCTATGTTAAAATCCCACAGTTCAAATATATAATAGTAGTACGCATGTTATTCCTTTTAGTATAACTTAAAATCCAGAAAGGAAAGCTAATGAATATTAAAGTGTAAAAGCAATATTATTTCAAAAAGATTTTTTTTTCAATTCTTAAGACACTGGTAATGGGATTTTACACATGGACTTCAGATCTGGAAAACCTTGAAATCCTATGTAACAGGAGGGTTACTTTGATAGGTGCTAGTTAGCTTGCAATATTAGGTATTCAGTCCTTTCATGGTGGTGAGTATTCAGAGCCAGACAAAATAGGTTTGCTGTGAATGCTTTATGTATTTCTTTTTTTGATTATTTAGCTTTAATGCAGAATTTGGATCTCTCTTTTCCCTTTTGCCTATCATTGCAATTATTCAACACACACTCAAACTTCCTATACTGCTTGAATGCTTATCAAAGATTAGTATTGCTTGAGAACTTAAGAAGTGGATCTGCAGATTTCTTTATTTTACTCCAGTTACTGGACAGACACTGAAAGTGTGAAATTTTAATCAGGGTTCATCCATCTGCCCATGTCTTTATCATTTTGACTGTGTAACACTTTTTTCTCCAAATATCTCAAAAAGCTGTTGAGTTTTTACCATGAAATTTTATTTTCAAACTTCCTTTGGCTTGAATAAGATTCCTTTTGATTTCAATGTCAAAAGGACAAGGTCAAAAAAAGTTATATTGTAAGAAATTATTCCAGATCTTAATTTATCTTTTGTTAAGCCTTTTCAATGAAAATTGTTATCCTGGTTTCCAGTAGCAGAACAATGATGCTTATTGATTTTAAAGTCAAAATTTCAAAGATCAGAAATTAATGCATTGCTAATAATAGACAACAGATAATTTTTATTTTCTTAAATTTTAACCCATTGATCCCAATGACTGAAAGAAGATCCATATTGATTTTGAGGTCAGAGGGCCAAAGTCAAAATTCATATCTTGTATAAAGTGGTTTCCTGATGGTAACTTGAGGTTTCTAAGGTTTTGGATTAACATTAAATGTATTTATTTTTAGTCAATTCATGTTCATCTTTAAGAAAAAAACTTTTGTTTTTAAGGTTAAAGTTCAAGGTTAGAAATTCATAGTTTTCAACTTGAAAATATGTTTCCTGTAGCATTTGCTAGAAAACTAAAAGGTCATTGATTTCTGTATCTCAAGTAAGACCCTTCTTGGCTTAAAAACCAAAAACTGAAAGATCAAGGTCAATCTCTTCTCTTTCCCCATCTGCATTTTTCCAGACCTTTCTTGCTTTTATTTTAAGTGGAAGACTTAAATTCCCTGAATTAGCTTGTTTTTGAACTTTGAGATTGTTACCTCGTATAAATATTTAAAGAATTCTGAACAGGTTTTCTTGGTTAAATTTTCAGTTTTCTTGTTTAAAAAGTTTTCTAGAGTATACTTTAATTCAATGGACTTAAATATGTATATGCATGTATTTATTTTTCCTCTTTATTCCAACATTTGGTAGAAGGGTTCAGTATTTTTATTTGGTGTTCCACTTCTATTTAATACATGTACCCCTTCTATTTACCCCCTATGTACCAAAACTGGCTAAGGTATCCCAATACGTGTATCAATCTGTGAACATTGCTTCAAGTTATATTTTGATTTGCGTACTTTTGTAAAGGATAAGTGGATAAAATTCTATGATTTAGATCCTTCGTATAAAGAGGGTGACAAATACTTTTAGTAATTAATGGAATGATTTTTTTTTGTAAAATCTTGAAGAAAAAAAGCATCTGCAAAATTAAAGCTTTTATTCATGATCTTTTGGCAAAAATAGTTTTAAAATAGATAAAGTTTTTCTGATTTATTTCTTTTTTTTATATAAAAAGTTTCTATTACAGATGAGGACCTGAGTGAACTTGCTCAGCAGACAGCCAGGTTTGCACAGAAACATGGGAAGAACATGACACCCAACGGAACCACCCCTGACATATTGTCCAGCAGTTCACGCTCCAGTAGTTACAGCGATATCGTCAGCAGCACCGAAAACGGAAAATACAAAGAACCACGACGTACCAATACTTTCCCTGGACTAGAACCTAACATACCAGGTAAAGGTGTGAAGACTTAACTTTAGTTAATTATAAGGACTCAGTAACTATGTGGTCACTTCTTGTAATATCAGCATACCATTTGACAGAAATGACCTTTTTACTGGACAGTTTTATTGAGACTTGGTAGAGAGTTTTCCAATTAGAGTTATCTTTCTTATCAAAGGATCAAGGAACCTTAATTTTACTCGCCAGATTTTCTTTCA